TTTTCTGTATTTTTTGTTTCGAGTTTTCTGTTTCATTGAGGACAATGTAATTTTTAAGTTTGGGGGTGAAGTATTCATTATTAATTTATGCTGTAGGACGATTAAGAACATGTGTTTGCATTAGAACAACAACTGAAAAACTAAAAAATAAAATAAAATTCGGAAAAACTGCAACATCTATTTTCTAGTTTTCTGTCAGGAACAATAGACTGTCAAAAACAACAAACAAAAAACAGCCCCAAATTTGAAATTCTAGAGACCCTTTTCTCACATTTCAATCCCCTAGACATATATTACTGAAATTCGAAATTACAGCTATAAAGAGGATAGTTTTGATTTATTTTTGACAAATTTATTGTTGCTAAAAACAAAACTAAAAATAGAAAATAGAATTGTCAGAACTATCTAATTTACAAATTGCTTACATCATATTGTATGCATGAAAAATTAAATCAATTAGATTGATTGATACCAAAAGATACTAGGAAGATTATTATTGAGTCAAAAGAATGATCTAGTAGCATGAAATGTTGGAATACTCCTTGGATACATGATAGATAACATGGATTTGATTTTACAGATTTTCACTTCATGATCTTGATGGATAGTATTTACTTGATTTGAAAATTTGATTGATCATTTGAGTTTAATGGAGATTTTTGCACCCTAATCTATAGGACTTATGAGGAGAAATCACTTATTTCGAAAGAAAAAAAGAGAGAGCAATGTGAAAAATCTAGAAACGAAAAGTACACATAGAGGGTGTGAGACATTATTCTCATTGTCGAAAATCGTGTATAGAAAAACACGCTGTAAAATAAGTGGATAAAATGAAAGCCCTGAAAATTAAGAGTACACATGGAGGGTGTGAGACATCATTCTCATTGTCGAAATTTGTCTACATGAGAAGTTACTTATCCACTATAAAAGAAGGAAGAAATATAGTGCAAACTTCAAAAATCAAGCCATGGAAAAAGGAAAATGTAGGATCAATATTATTCTTAGATGATTATTGATAATTGGAACATCTTGTAAATATATATATGAGTGAAGAAGTGATAAAGATGTGAATAGAAGAAGTGAAGTCTAGATTGTTATTCCAAGGAGTGCTTAAACATTTAAGTGCTTGACATCACCTCCCCCTTACTTAAGTCTTGCATTGTCTTTAATGCATGTGAGAGAAAGGAAAAGAGAAGAAAATTCTGATTTTTATGCCCCATCTACTACACTGTTGCCCCTGAACGGTTCTAACTAAAGCACTCAACCAATAAAATATGTCTAAAACAAAAGCTAGAAAGGAAATGCATAAAAAGAAATGATAGTTCTCAAGATAAATTATGTGCATACACACAAATAGATCAAGTCCTCAAATATCTACTAGAGACCAGCCAAGCACCACTCTCTATGTCCTAAGTAAATCAAGTAATTTATTCTCTTGATCCTTAGACAAATACGATGATATAATCATTGGATAAGCTTGATGTTAATCAAAAAATGCATACTTTAGTGAAGATGATTGATAAGTCTTCATTATCATGAGTTAATAATTAATTAATAATATAGTTTTAATCTTAACTCATGATAAATAGACTTATATTTATGTCAAATTATGAAAAATAGTTTTTAGTTGGTTAATTTGGCTAATTATGGGATCTTGTGTGAATTTATATAATTTTTATAATCTTATTTTTGAGGTAAATGAAGACAAAAAAAATAAAAAGATAGAAGAAAGAGAAAACTTGCCACCTAGTCGAGCCCACAAGCAGGTTGGAAGCATAGACAGGCGGAATCGTGAGTAAGGGCTTGAGCGGCTAAAGACAGACTGATAGGGGACACATGTGCATCACTCCCCTTCCACATCATCAATGGCTAGTCGGGCATGTGACAAAGAGCGGCCATACACATGTGAGAAAGGGACACATTGATTATCAAGTCTAGTATTACTATATATCAACCTCAAAACTCGGCATATAATAAAATGTGGGACTAAACGTGGGGTCATAGTCTCCGAAAAGTTTTAATAATTTTAATACCTAAAATATCCCTTGTTTAGTAAACCACACAAATTTAAAATTTATAAAACTAGAAAATACTAATTTTTAGATATTTAGAAGTATTTTGAAATAATTATATCAATTATAATTTAATCAAAGTTCTAAAAATAGTGGAAAGTTTCTAGGTCAATCACAGGGATGTAATATAATATTAAGTAATATTTCAGAAATGTTCTCAAAGAATATGATTTTTTATGAATTTTAAACTAAAAATAAATAAAGAAAATATATTTAAAATTTGTGAAAAAGGGAAATAAAGGTGTAGATGTCAAGATGATGTCAGCACCTAATGAATGCAAACTAGGCAGAAGTAGAATTCTGCCTGGTGATTTTTACATAAGCGATTATAGACGATTTAATTAGTCAAATTAAGATCTGTAAAAGCTAGAAGAATCGTTACAAGAAGTATTTTGCAAGCCTTGTTGGTCCTAATTTCACATGTGGAAGCCCCACGAAATCAGCTAAGGTGCTACTACGATTTTTATTTTATTTTTTCTAGTGTAATCTTTACCATGTTCTATCCTTTTGTCTTAGGTTTAATCATGATTAATGATTTGTAAAAGCATCAACTAATTTGAAAACTTTTCAACCGACTACTGATCAAGAAAGAGAAGGATTCAATTTACTACTCATAGTTAATAATAAGAATTCATAACATAAATCCGGCAGAAGATCAAAGTAGATTTTCTCAATTTAAGAGTGTGGGTTATATGCACCGTGAAAGATCATGAACTTCATCATTTAGTTATAAGCATTATAGCACCTGATGTAATCTCATGTATTCACCCTCATGCATTTATTCTTCCCCCCCAAACAACCATTCGCATTGTCCTCAATGCATCTATATAAGAGAAAAAGGAGAAAGCATTAAATGTGCAAACTGATTTTCACTCTTCATCCTTTTGATTTTCTTTTGTATTAATCCGTGCCATGATATGCACTTCCTCTAGAACGCTGGATCTGTTCGCTTAATAAAAACTCAAGAGAAACATCAAAGGATAGAGAAAAATAATAAAAAGGGAATGTAGTGGAAAAGAAAGCTATGCCATCTTAGAGTACATGATGGAGGGGAAGTTATAAGAAGATTGAGGTTCAATGGATGGATCATATAATTGAGTGCAAATGGGTAAAGAAGGAGGGTTCGTTTCTAAATAAGGTTTTAATCTTTGCCCATTCACATTAAAATTTTTACCAGTTTTCAGATCTGCAATTAATACTGCACCACAGTCAAAAACTTTAATCACGAGGTATGGTCCATCCCATCTAGATTTTAATTTCTCGAGGAATAGTTTCAATCGAGAATTGTAAAGCCACTCTTTTTGATGCTCATGAAAACTCTTTCTGTTCACCTTCTTGTTATAAAAAGCCTTCATTTTTGCTCTGTAAATCAGAGACTTCTCGTACATCTCATTGGGTAGTTCTTGAAGCTCTTGCAACTACAACATACGGTGCTTACCTACGGCGTCTAAAGAGAGATTAAGATTCTTTATAGCCTAATAAGCCTTGTGTTCGATCTTCATAGGAAGGTGACAAACCTTTTGATGCGACTTAGTCGTTGTATTGTAAATCATGTAAATTTAAAAATTATAAAACTAGAAAATACTAATTTTTAAATATTTAGAAATATTTCTGAACAAATATATCAATTATAATTTAATAAAATTTACAAAAATAGTGGTAATTTTCCAAGTCAATCAGAAGGATATAATATAATATTGGGTAATTTTTTAGTATTTTCCTCAAAGAATATAATATTTTATTAATTTTATACTAAGAAATGAAAATAAAATCTATTTAAAATTCGTGAAAAAAGGAAATAAGGGTGCGGATGTTAGGATGACGTCAGCATCCGACAAATGCGAATCAACAGAAATAGAGTTCCACCTAGTGATTCTTACGTAAGCGATTACAAATGATTTAATTGATCAAATTAAGATCTGTAAAAGGCGGAAGAATCGTAATTGAATGAAATATAGCTTGGTAAATTTAAATCACACAAATTATCAGTAATGAAGTACAAATTAAGTTGAAAGTAGAAAAATAAAGTTCTAGCATAGCGACGGTAATCTGTCGACGATGCACGGAAATTCTGAGCATTTGGGAAGATTGTCGTGTAGTGTCCACGGCCTCGAAGGCTCTCTTTGGACAAGGACGACATGGGCAATTTGAAGATATCCTTACGAAGTCTAGAGATCAATGAAATGGGTCGTCGAATCGTCTCTGGCAGTTGTCACTCAGCGAAGTGGAAAAATGATGACTTTGTGGCTCTCTAGTGGCTGTCACTGAGGTGACTTAGTCATTGCATATTAAATCACGTAAATATAAAATTTATAAAACTAGAAAATATGAATTTTTGGATATTTAGAAGTATTTATGAACAAATATATCAATTATAATTCAATAAAACTTTCAAAAATAGTAGTAATTTTTCAGGTTGATCAAGGGATGTAATATAATATTTGGTAATTATTCAGAATTGTCGGCAAAGAATACTATTTTCTATGAATTTTATACTAAGAAATGAAAAGAAAATATATTTAAAATTCACAGAAAAAGGAAATAAGGGTGCAGACGTCAAGATGACGTCAGCACCCGGCGAACGCAAATTGGGCAAAAATAGAGTTCCGCCCGGCGATTCTTACGTAAGCGATTACAGATGATTTAATTGATCAAATTAAGATCTGTAAAAGCCGAAAGAATCGTAATTGAACGAAGTATATTTTGATAAATTAAAATCACACAAATTATCACTAAATGAAGCGTAAAGTAAGGTGAAAGCACAAAAATAGAGTTCTGGCATCACAGCGGCGATACGTTGGCGATGCACCGGAATCCTGAGTGTTCGGGAGGATAGTCATGCAGTGTCCACGGCCTTGAAGGCTCTCCTTGGACAAGGACGATGTGGGCAATCTCTAGATCTCCTTGCAAAGTCTAGAGATCAATGAAATGAGTCGTCGAATCATCTCCGGCGGCTGTCACCCGGTAGAGCAGAAAAACGGCGACTTTGTGGCTCTCCGACGGCTGTCACCCGATAGAGAGGAGCTGGATTGAGGTGGGGCGCGTGTCAGGGAGCTTCATCCTCAAGTCCGCGCAGCAAGAGGAGGCTCTTCATCGCATCTAGTATGCTCTCAGGAGGTGGCGACTTGTCTCCCGGCAGATCATCCTCTTCCCGATGACGGCTTGTTCATCGATCAATCAGAGATGCTTTACTTGATGGATTCACGATCCTTGTATCGCGAATTGACATGACTCAGTCGTTGTATATTAAATCATGCAAATCTAAAATTTATAAAACTAGAAAATACGATTTTTCAGATATTTAGAAGTATTTCTGAACAAATGTATCAATTATAATTCAATAAAACTTCCCAAAATACTAGTAATTTTCTTGGTCAATCACAAGGATGTAGTATAATATTTGGTAATTATTCAGATTTTTTCTCAATGAATACAATTTTCTATGAATTTTATACTAGGAAATGAAAAATAAATATATTTAAAATTCACGAAAAAAGGAAATAAGGGTGCGGACGTCAGGATGACGTTAGTGCCCGATGATCGTGAATCGGGCAAAAACAGAGTTCCACCCGGCGATTCTTATGTAAGCGATTACAGACGATTTAATTCATCAAATTAAGATCTGTAAAAGCCGGAAGAATCCTAATTGAACGAAGTATATTTTGGTAAATTAAAATCACACAAAGTATCACTAAATGAAGCGTAAATTAAGTTGAAAGCAAGAAAACAGAGTTCTGGCATCGTGGCGGCGATGCGTCGGCGATGCACCGAAATCGTGAGCGTTTGGGAGGATTGTCTTGTAGTGTCCACGGCCTCGAAGGCTCTCCTTGGACAAAGACGACGTGGGCAATCTCTAGATCTCCTTGCGAAGTCTAGAGATTAATGAAATGGGTCGTTGACTCGTCTTCGGCGGCTGTCACCCGGCGGAGCGGAAAAACGGCGACTTTGCGGCTCTCTGGCGGCTGTCACCAGACGGAGAGGAGCTGGATGGAGGTGGGGCGCATGTCAGGGAGCTTCATCCTCGGGTCTGCGTAGTAAGAGGAGGCTCTTCATCGCATCTGGTACGCTCTTAGGAGGTGGCGACTCGTCTCCCAACAGATAGTCCTCTTCCCGACGACGGCTTGTTTGTCGATCAATCGGAGATGCTTTACTCGATGGATTCCCGATCCTTTTATCGCGAATTGTTCAGCATGTTTAGTAACAATGCTCCGCAAATCGTGTTGACGAGATTTTCACCGATGATCTAACGATTCTAGTTGCTTAATCCTTTACTGGTGCTCTGCAAGAAAGTCGCGATAATCAAATAAAAAATATGAGTTTTGGCTCTGGGAGGATTCGAACCCGCACTAGTTGCCCGCCCTTTCTGGGGAAGGTGACGCAGGTTTAGTCCCACATCGGTTGTGCGCCGAAGTTTTTGGCGAATATAAAGTAATATTACATTCCCGATCAAGCGTGCGTGTACGACCACTCCTTGCCCCACAGCCGACTGGCCACCGGTGACGTGGAAGGGGAGTGGCGTACACGTTCCCCCATCGGTTCAAGCCGCTTGAGCCCTTGCTTGCGGCTATTTCCCGACTGTGCTTCTGACCCGCTCGCGGGTCTGGCTTGCCGGCGGGTCCCCCTATTTTGTAATATTTTTTTTTTAATTCTTTTTCTTCATTTATCTCAAACGTAAGACTGTAAAAATCATATAAATTTGTATAAAATCACATAATTACCTAACAAATCACATTAATCAACTAAAAACCACTTTTCACACTTTAACACAAATATAAGTCTATTTATCATGAGTTAGGGCTAAAACTATATTATTTACTAATTATTAACTCATGATAATGAAGACTAATCACAAATTGTTCAGCAATTTTAGTAACAATGCTCTGCAAATTGCGTTGACGAGATTTTTGACGATGATCCAGCGATTCTGGTTGCTTAATCCTTCACCAACGATCTGCAAGAAAGTCGCGATAATCAGATAAAAAAGATGAGTTTTGGCTCTGGGAGGATTCGAACCCATGCCGGTTGCCCCGCTCCTTTTGAAAAGGTGATGCGAGTTTAGTCCCACATCAGTTGTGCGTCAAATTTTCGGACAAATATATAGTAATGTTAGATTTCTAAGCAAGTCCCTTTCTCGCACGTGTATGACCACTCCTTGCCCCACAGCCGGCTGGCCACCGGTGATGTGGAAGGGGAGTGGCGCACACGTGCCCCCATCGGTTCAAGCCGCTCGAGCCCCTGCTTGCGGCTACTCCCCGACTACACTACTGACCCGCTTGCCCCGACTAGCTGGCAGGTCCCCTGATTTTGCTATATTTTTATTTTAATTTCTTTTCCTTTATTTATCTCAAAAGTAAGATTGTAAAAATCTTATAAACTCACATAATTACCCAAAAATTCACATTAATCAATTGAAAACCACTTTTCACACTTTAACACAAATATAAGTCTATTTATCATGAGTTAAGGCTAAAACTATATTATTTACTAATTATGAACTCATGATATTAAAGACTTATCACACCCCCCAACTTAAATCATTGCTAGTCCCTTAGCAATGGAATTACGAAAATAAAAATTTACAAATCTCAAACATCATATTTCAATATAGAAAGAAAAAAAATACAATTAGAAATGATGCACCTTTAGACACTTTGGACTCTTATATCAAGTATTTAAGAATGATGTCAAGCACTTAGATGTTTAAGTACTCCTTGGAATAACAATCTAGACTTCACTTCTTCTATTCACATCTTTATCACTTCTTTACTCATAGATATATTTACAAGATGTTCCAATTATCAATAATCATCTAAGAATAATATTGATCCTACATTTCCCTTTTTCCATGGCTTGATTTTTGAAGTGTGCACTATATTTCTTCCTTCTTTTTTTTTTGATATATATAGTGGATAAGTAGCTTTTCCTGTAGACAAATTTTGACAATAAGAATGATGTCTCACAGCCTCCATGTGTACTCTTCATTTTCAAGGCTTTCACTTTATCCACTTATTTTGCAGTAAGTGTTTTTCTATACACGATTTTCGACAATGAGAATAATGTCTCACACCCTCCATGTGTACTCTTCGTTTCTAGATTTTTCACATTGCTCTCCCTCTTTTTTTCAAAATAAATGATTTCTCCTCACAATTCTTATAGATCTGGGTGCAAAAATCTCTATTAAACTCAAATGATCAATCAAATTTTTACATCAAGTAAATACTATCCATCAAGATCATGAAGTGAAAATCTGTAAAATCAAATCCATGTTATCTATCATGTATCCAAGGAGTATTCCAACATTTCATGCTACTAGATCATTCTTTTGACTCAATAATAATCTTCCTAGTATCTTTTGGTCAATCAATCTAATTGATTTAATTTTTCATGCATGCAATATGATGTAAGAAATTTGTAAATTAGATAGTTCTGACAATTCTATTTTCTGTTTTTAGTTCTATTTTTAGTAACAATAAATTTGTCAAAAATAAATCAAAACTATCCTCTTTATAGTTGTAATTTCGAATTTCAGTGATATATGTCTAGGAGATTGAAATGTGAGAAAAGGGTCTCTAGAATTTCAAATTTCAGGCTGTTTTTTGTCTGTTGTTCCTAACAGAAAATCAGAAAATAGATATTGCAGTTTTTACGAATTTTATTTATTATTATTTTTTTTCAGTTGCTGTTCTAATGCAAACACATGTTCTTAATCATCCTACAGCATAAATTAATAATGAATACTTCACCCCCCAACTTAAAAATGACATTGTGCTCAATGACACAGAAAATCAAAACAGAATATGTAGAAAATATAATTTTCAAGTGAAGCATGCATATGTGCAAAGTTAAGCATTAAAAATATTTTCATAAATGATAAAACTCAGAAAGACATCACCCCAACCTCGTTTTTAATTTTTCACTTCATCTTACACTCCTCCTGCACTTTTTCGAAAAAACAAATACAAAAACAAGTACTGCAAAATTCTAAGAAAAATAGAGCTTAGAAAAAAATCAAACAGAATGAAATAAAAACCATGGGTTGCCTCCCATGTAGCACTAGATTTAATATCTTCAGCTGGACAGCTCTTAGATCATATAAGATGATCTATGGCCATCAAAATATATTTGTATCCCTAGGTAAGTTTCATGATATTCTTTTTCAGATTTAGCATAAATTCATATACTTCATATATATACCTTGACATACTTTCAGCCAAAAAAAAATGGAAATTAACAAAATTTTCCCAAAAATAATATTTCCATTTTCAAAAAAATCTTTCCTTATTTCTATCTTGTTTTGTAAGGCTCTCATTCATTAATAAATACTCTTTCTATTAATAGACCATAAAATGTGATCAGGCCATATAATTTTCAAATTAGCTCTTACCCAATCTAAATTCTTTTCATCTAAATTGATATCTCTAATTCTTCCACTCACCCATTTCTTAATGTCTTCTTTTATCTACATAATCTTCCCCTGCTCCATTTTATCTTCCATACATATTTGTTCAATTTGCGAGGAGTGAAATATTTCAAGCTTAGAAATAATTCTAATGGGCTATGGGTTTTGAATGATGGAAGGATTACCTTCTTTAATCTCAAATCTAATGAATTCAGTAAAATTCAAATTTTCTCCTCCAAAATTATCTCTATATTCATATTCATTATTTTCGTTTCTCTCCATTAGTTGAATTAACTCTTTTTCTAGTTTTTCATTTCTCAACTCATCAAATTCTTCATCTTCCCAAGAGCTATCTTTTAATTTTGGTATATGATATACATCATCATCCTCACTATCAACATCCATGGCTGCAAAATTATGATTAGGTTTATTAATTTTGTCTCCTACATCTCTCAAAACAACTGATTTTTCCTCACCTGAAATATGTTTCTCTTCATTTCTGTCCTTACTCCCTTCTACTAAAATTTGGATGATTCTTCATTCTAAGGGCTCTTTCTCCTCATCATCCTCACTATATTCATTCATCAATTGTGAGCAATAAATGATTTTATTCAAATTTTCTGCTACTATATTTCTAGCCTTAATATTCTCATTTACTTCTATTGGCTCATCAATTTCTTCTAATAATTGGAAATATGGATTTGGTAAAACATTCTCACTCAATGTATTCACTGTCCTAACATTTTCATTTCGTGGGTTTTTTTCTAAATTTATCCAGCTAGACTCTCCTTGCTGAAATCCTACTATTGGACAGTTTCCTGAATTTTCTATGGGCTGACTAGGTGGCTGTCCCTCTTCTCTCTTATTCCCAAGAGTTTCTATAATTTTTTTCTAGTGCAGCATCATTTGATTCATAGTTTGTTGCATCATTTGGCTCATTTGCTGCATCATTTCCATAGTATCAGGTTGGGTTTGAGAGGGCTGATTTTTCTGAAATCTATATTCTTGTTTTGGACGAAATTTAGAGTTTGAATTGGGTCTAAGTGCTTCTGAATTTTGAATATTATTTTCATGAAAAATTATTCCTCCAATTAGGATTATAAGAATTTGAAAAAGGTTCCCTATTTCTATTAAAACCGTGAGCTACTTGCACTTGTTCTTGCCTAGGGTGAAATGATTGACCTAAATTATAGTATTGAAATTCAGAATAATCATTTTCACCATACATAGGACATGTACTATTTGAATTAAATTGAGGGTTAAGAGGCTTTCTAATATTGTCAATAAGTAAATCAAGTTTTTCTAATCTTTGATTAATCTGATTAACATCATTTCTCAATTTAGTCATCATGATGCAATTCATAAATTGCTCTCTTCTTATCCCTATCATATAATTCAAAAGAGGCTTGATCTCTAGAATTTTCACTTAAATTTTCATAAAGACTGTAAATCTCATCAGGGGTTTTCTCCATAAAAGCTCCTCCACATATAGAATCAACCATATTTCTATGTTGTTCTAATAATCCATCATAAAAAATTCTATTGAGCTGCCACTTTGGTATAGCATGATGAGGACACTTTCTAAGTAAATCTTTGAATTTTTCCCATGTCTCATGCAAAGTTTCTCCTGGTCTTTGAGAAAAATTCTATATATGTTTTCTCATATTTTGAGTTTTTCCTAAGGGATAAAATTTTCGAAGAAAGGCTTGTTCTATGTCTTTTCAGCTAGTTAATTCTCTATCTAATGTGGATAACCAATGGCTAGCTTTGTCCCTAAGTGTATGAGGAAATAATTTCATCTTAATAATTTCCGGTGTACCTTGAGGGACATTAACTAAATCACAAACCATATGAAATTTTTCTAACTGTTGATGAGGTTCCTCTAAAGGCAATCCATGAAAATTAGGGAGCATTTGAAAAATTCCTAGATTTATTTCGAATTTAACAGTGGGTGCTAATGGGACTCTAATATTGGATGCTCTTTGAAATGAATCAGGGATATAATAATTTTTCATGGCCATAGGATTGTTCTCAGTTTGACCTGTACTTTCTTCAGGATCTATCAAAATTAATTTTTTTCTTTCGGATTTTTAGTTTTGGATGAAATAATAGAAGGATTTTCTAGTCTTGGATGCAAGGATCTTCCACCATGCATAAAAAAAAGCAATAAATTCGAGGGAAAAAAGTTTAGTAATTGTTACCCTCCTTCAGTATGCTCCAGTCCTTGCCTTGCTTCTTTTCATTCCCTTTTTCTAAAAAAAAATTTCGGCAAGAAAAAAATAAAACAAGAGTTAATTTTTTTTTTGTGTACTCTAAGAAAAAAACAGAAAAATACTAAATATATGCAATACATCTCCGGCAACGGCGCCAAAATTTGATGTGACTTAGTCATTGTATATTAAATCACGCAAATATAAAATTTTTAAAACTAGAAAATATGAATTTTCGGATATTTAGAAGTATTTCTGAACAAATATATCAATTACAATTCAATAAAACTTCCAAAAAAAGCGCTAATTTTCCAGGCCAATTACAAGGATGTAATATAATATCTGGTAATTATTCAGAAGTTTTTGCAAAGAATACTATTTTCTATGAATTTTATACTAGGAAATGAAAAGGAAATATATTTAAAATTCACGGAAAAAGAAAATAAGGGTGCGAACGTCAGGATGACGTCAGCGCCCGACAAATGCGTATCGGGCGGAAACAGAGTTCCACCCGACGATTCTTAGGTAAGCGATTACAGACGATTTAATTGATCAAATTAAGATCTGTAAAAGCCGAAAGAATCGTAATTGAACGAAGTACATTTTGGTAAATTAAAATCACACAAATTATCACTAAATGAAGCGTAAAGTAAGGTGAAAGTAAGAAAACAGAGTTCCGGCATCGCGGCGGCAATGCATCGGCGATGCACTGGAATCCTGAGCATTCGGGAGGATAGTCGTGTAGTGTCTACAGCCTTGAAGGCTCTCCTTGGACAAGGACGATGTGGGCAATCTCTTGATCTCCTTGCAAAGTCTAGAGATCAATGAAATGGGTCGTCAAATCATCTCTAACGGCTATCACCCGGCGGAGCAGAAAAAGGGCGACTTTGCGACTTCAAAGTTACCCGACAGAGAGGAGCTGGATGGAGGTGGGGCGCGTGTCAAGGAGCTTCATCCTCAAGTTCGTGCAGCAAGAGTAGGCTCTTCATCGCATCTGGTATGCTCTCAGGACGTGGCGACTCATCTCCCGGCGGATTATCCTCTTCCCGACGACAGCTTGTTCGTCGATCAATCGGAGATGCTTTACTTGTTGGATTTGTGATCCTTTTATCGTGAATCGTTCAACAATTTTAGTAACAATGCTCCGCGAATTACGTTGACAAGATTTTCGCCGATGATCCAGCGATTCTTATTGCTTAATCCTTCCACGGCGATCTGAAGGAAAGTCGTGATAATCAGATAAAAAAATATGAGTTTTGGCTCTGGGAGGATTCGAACCCATGCTGGTTGCCCCACCCCTTCTGGGAAGATGACGCGGGTTTAGTCTCACATCGGTTGTGCGTCGAATTCTCGGACGAATATATAGTAATGTTAGATTTCTAAGCAAGTCCCTTTCTCGCGCGTGTACGACCACTCCTTGCCCCATAGCCGGCTTGCCACCAGTGACGTGGAAGGGGAGTGACACACACGTGCCCCCATCAGTTCAAGCCGCTCGAGCCCCTGCTCACAGCTACTCCCCGACTGTGCTTCCGACCCGCTTGCGGGCCCGCCTGGCCAGCGGGTCCCCCCATTTTACTATATTTTTTTTTTATTTTGTTTTCCTTTATTTATCTCAAATATAAGACTGTAAAAATCGTATAAAATCACATAATTACCTAAAAATTCACATTTATCAACTGAAAACCACTTTTCACACTTTAACACAAATATAAGTCTATTTATCATGAGTTAAGGCTAAAACTATATTATTTACTAATTATTAACTCATGATAATGAAGACTTATCAGTCACCCGACGGAGAGGAGCTAGATGGAGGTGGGACGCGTGTTAAGGAGCTTCATCCTTAGGTCCGTGCAGCAAGAGGAGGCTCTTCATCGCATCTAGTATGCTCTCAAGAGGTGGCGGCTCATCTCTCGGCAGATCGTCCTTGATAAGTCTTCATTATCATGGGTTAATAATTAGTAAATAATATAGTTTTAGCCTTAACTCATGATAAATAGACTTATATTTGTGTTAAAGTGTGAAAAGTGGTTTTCAGTTGATTAATGTGATTTTTTGGGTAATTATGTGATTTTATACGAATTTATATGATTTTTACAGTCTTACTTTTGAGATAAATGAAGAAAAAGAAATAAAACTAAAATATTGCAAAATGGGGGGAACCCGCCGGCCAGCCGGGCCCGCAAGCGGGTCGGAAGCTCAGTCGGGGAGTATCCGCGAGCAGGGGCTCGAGTGGCTTGGACCGATAGGGGCACGTGTGCGCCACTCCCCTTCCACGTCACCGGTGGCCAGCCGGCTGTGGGGCAAAGAGTGGTCGTACACGCAAGAGAAGGGACTTTACTTAGAAAGCTAACATTACTTTATATTCACCTGAAAAATCGGCGCACAACCGATGTGGGACCAAAACCCGCGTCACACCTTCCTTAGAAGGGGCGGACAACCGGCGCGGGATTGAATCCTCCTAGAGTCAAAATTCATAGATTTTTATCTGATTATCGTGACTTTCCTGTAGATCACCGGTGAAGGATTAAGCAACCAGAATCGCTGGATCATCGGCAAAAATCTCGTCAGCGCGATTCGCGGAGCATTGCTACTAAAGTTGCTGAACGATTCGCGATAAAAGGATCGCGAATCCATTGAGTAAATCATCTCCGATTGATCGACGAACAAGCCGTCGTCGGGAAGAGGACGATCCGCCGGGAGATGAGTCGCCACCTCTTGAGAGCATACCAGATGCGATGAAGAGCCTCCTCTTGCTGCGCGGACCTGAGGATGAAGCTCCCTGACACGCGCCCCACCTCTATCCAGCTCCTCTCCGTCGGGTGACAGCCGCCGGAGAGCCACAAAGTCGCCGTTTTTCCGCTCCGCCGGGTGACAGCCGCCGGAGACGACTCGACGACCCATTTCATTAATCTCTAGACTTCGCGAGAAGATCTAGAGATTGCCCACGTCGTCTTTGTCCAAGGAGAGCCTTCGAGGCTGTGGACACTGCACGACGATCCTCCCAAACGCTCAAGATTCCAGTGCATCGCCGACGCATTGCTGTCGCGATGCTAGAACTCTATTTTCCTGCTTTCAATTTAATTTATGCTTCATTTAGTGATACTTTGTGTGATTTTAATTTCCCAAACTATACTTCGTTCAATTACGATTCTTCCGGCTTTTACAGATCTTAATTTGATTAATTAAATCGTCTGTAATCGCTTACGTAAGAATCGCCGGGCGGAACTCTATTTTCGCCCGATTCGCGTTCGCCAGGCACTGACGTCATTCTGACGTCCGCACTCTTACTTCCTTTTTTTTCGTGAATTTTAAATATATTTCCTTTTCATTTCTTAGTATAAAATTCATAGAAAATCTTATTCATTGAGAAAAAATCTGAATAATTACAAAATATTATATTACATCCCTATGATCGACTTGGGAAATTACCGCTATTTTTGGAAGTTTTATTGGATTATAATTGATATATTTATTTAGAAATACTTCTAAATATCTGAAAATTCATATTTTCTAGTTTTATAAATTTTATATTTGCGTGATTTAATATACAACGACTGAGTTACGTCAGTCCTCTTCTCGATAACGGCTTGTTCATCGATCAATCAGAGATGATTTACTTGATGGATTCGTGATCCTATTATCGCAAATCGTTTTCAGCAATTTTAGTAACAATGTTTTGTGAATTGCGTTGACAAGATTTTTGCCAATGATCTAACGATTTTAGTGGCTTAATCCTTCACCTGTGATCTACAAGAAAGTCGAGATAATCCTTCATTGGGCTCTAGGAGGATTTGAACTCATGCTGATTGCCGCCTGCATGAGAGAGATTGAAATAAGTACTCTAATACCCTTATCAAGTGACATCATCATAGTATATCTCTATTATAACTAAGGAGTAATTTATGTATTAAAATCTTCGAAGCCTTTCAAGGGAAGGTGTGATGTGGGTTTAGTCCCACATCCCTTGTGCGTCAAAGTTTTAGGTGAATATATAGTAATATCACATTTATAAGTAATGAGAACTTTTCTCTCACATGTACGACCACTCCTTGTCTCAGACTTGGCTGGCCACTAGTGACGTGGAAGGGGAGTGGCGCACACATGCCCCCATTGGTCTTAGTCACCCGAACCCCTGCTCGTGGCTCCCCCCGACTATGCTTCCGACTCACTTGTAGGCCCGGTTGGCTGGCGGGTCCCCTCTTTTGCTATATTTTTATTTTAATTTCTTTTTCTTGATTTATCTCAAAAATAGGATTATAAAAATCATATAAATGTATAGAAAATTACTTAATTAGCTAAAAAAATCACATTAATCAATTAAAAACTACTTTTCATAGTTTAACAGAAATATAAGTCTATTTATCATGAGTTAAGGCTAAAACTATATTATTTACTAATTATTAACTCATGATAATGAAAACTTATCAATGGTTTTCTATTATGACAAAAAAAAACATTATATTAACAAATAATAAAGGTAAAAATATTGTACTTGAAAATATTATCAATTTACTTAAAAATATTTTACGTGTGCTCTTAAAAAGGCAAAAATCTCATTTTATATGTGTAAAACTATATACAAATTTATATACAACAAATTTTGCTTAAAAACATTTAATAGGGGTCGCATATAGAATTATGTAACTCTTAATTCCAATTGTACATTTGACTACATGTGGTTCTGAATTTAGATGTTTCTTAATTTTTAGATCATCACTAAAGAAATCATACTTTTACTATGATGGGAACCAATTATGGCATTACATTACTTTCAGTTTTGGACTACATGTGGTTCTGAACACATTATGGGGTGGATGTGTGTCCTTTGGTGGACACATAAGCTTCCAATACATAATTATTATTTCTTCATAACTTTACGTATTCTAATAAATAATATTTAATCATAGTGATTAGTAATTATAAATATAACCTAAACTATCAAATTCGTGCCATTTAATCCAATACTTGTAGTGTTCATTTATTTACTGATAAAATTTTTATTTTTGGTAAACTATAGTAATTATTCATTGCAACTAATCATTATGATTGTATGAAATAATATTAGATTTCTTCCCTTTAATACTGTATTTTTATGTGCCAGCTTTCTTATAAAGAAGTAATATTCATTATTTATGCATAAAATTTACATTTATCAATCTAATAATTGTTTATGATAATTTGTAAGTGTGAATGTACTTAAACATACTATATTCCTTTACTTAATAGGTTACGTCTAAAGTGGTGCCATTTCCAAGGTGAATAAATAGTAGGTACAAAACATTTCTAAAGTTTAAATGTTGGCAATAAATGATACATATTCCTAGCAAAAGTAACTATTATATAAATATCTACTTATACTCACGCCCTCTAAATGATTGTCTTATATTATTATCATTGATTGATATAGTTTCTCTTTTTGCATAAATATTAATTACACACCTTTATCAATAGTTATGATTACATTAAAAAAGTATTATATTCATGCCCTTAATATGAGGCTTTTAAACTATCATTTTCTTTATGAATAAATAAAAACAATAATAATAAATAATTTAGTCATGAGATTTATGTTTTCTCAATTGGCACTTTACAGATTTTATTTATATTCTTACATGTACATGGTCATGGTCTGTCATCAATCAAACATTTTATTCGTTTCTTTCTATGACACTCATCTTCTTCATGATTTACCTGCAATCTTCCACGTTTTTGGTGAACCTGTTGGAAACATGGTCAGCCTATTTAACAACAGATGATAGAGCCATGAAAAAGAGATAAAACCATCTGACATAAAATAAAAATATGCGAGGTAATTTCAGTGATGTCATGTTTGCAACCACCTTCAAAATTGCATCAATCCGAATGGTCTTTAACAAGGTGCAGGGGGGGCATATCAAGCTTCCAAAAAGAGAAATGAGCTTCGAGTAGGTGGGCTGCTCAACAAATTGTATCTTCTTCACTGCTTCAAGGAATTGTGCGAAAGGAGGGGGACAGCCACCACACAGCGTCTCGGGGGAGGTTACAGTCTTGTTCATGAAGACTAGAAACCTCTTGTCATTCCCCTACATAGTTGGCATAAGAATCAGCAAGTGATGAATCAAAGAGATGGGAGAACATGTACAAGTAGAGGTGGAAGCAAACCTGATAGCCTTCCCACGGCAGCCTTCCTTTAATCAAAAAAATCAGAGTGTAGGCCAATGACTCAAGATCATCTCTTCTACTCGCTGTGAGGCCTAAATGTGCATGGACGCTTGTACACACAAATAGATCAAGTCCTCAAATATCTGCTAGAGACCAGCCAATCACCTCTCTCTATGTCCTAAGTACATCAACTAATCTATTCTCTTGATCCTTAGACAAATACGAGGATATAATCATTGGATAAGCTTGATGTTAATCAAAAAATACATACTTTAGTGAAGATGGTTGATAAGTCTTCATTATCATGAGTTAATAATTTATAGTTTTAATCTTAACTCATAATAAATAGACTTATATTTATGTCAAATTATGAAAAATAGTTTTTAGTTGGTTAATTTGGCTAATTATGGGATCTTATGTGAATTTATATAATTTTTATAATCTTATTTTTGAGGTAAATGAAGACAAAAAAAATAAAAAGATAGAAGAAAGAGGAAACTTGCCGCCTAGTCGAGCCCACAAGCAAGTTGGAAGCATAGACAGGCGGAATCGTGAGTAAGGGCTTGAGTGGCTAAAGACGGACCGATAGGGGACACATGTATGTCACTCTCCTTCCACATCATCAATGGCCAGTCAGGCATGCGACAAAGAGTGGCCATACACGTGAGAAAGGGACACATTGATTATCAAGTCTAGTATTACTATATATCAACCTCAAAACTCAGCATATAATCAAATGTGAGACTAAACCTAGGGTCATAGCCTCTGAAAAGTTTAAATAATTCTAATACTTAAAATATCCCTTGTTTAGTAAACCACACAAATTTAAAATTTATAAAACTAGAAAATACTAATTTTTAGATATTTAGAAGTATTTTTTAATAATTATATCAATTATAATTTAATCAAAGTTCTAAAAATAGTGGAAATTTTCTAGGTCAATCACAGGGATGTAATATAATATTAAGTAATATTTCAGAAATGTTCTCAAAGAATACGATTTTTTATGAATTTTAAACTAAAAATAAATAAAGAAAATATATTTAAAATTTGTGAAAAAGGGAAATAAAGGTGTAGATGTCAAGATGATGTCAGCACCTAACGAATGCGAACCAGGCAGAAGTAGAATTCTGCCTGGTGATTTTTACATAAGCGATTATAGACGATATAATTAATCAAATTAAGATCTGTAAAAGCTAGAAGAATCGTTACAAGAAGTATTTTGCAAGTCTTGTTGATCCTAATTTCACATGTGGAAGCCCCACGAAATCAGCTAAGGTGCTACTACGATTTTTATTTTATTTTTTCTAGTGTAATCTTTACCATGTTCTATCCTTTTGTCTTAAGTTTAATCATGATTAATGATTTGTAAAAGCATCAACTAATTTGAAAACTTTTCAACCGACTACTGATCAAGAAAGAGAAGGATTCAATTTACTACTCATAGTTAATAATAAGAATTCATAACATAAATCCGGCAGAAGATCAAAGTAGATTTTCTCAATTTAAGAGTGTGGGTTATATGCACCATGAAAGATCATGAACTTCATCATTTAGTTATAAGCATTATAGCACCTGATGTAATCTCATGTATTCACCCTCATGCATTTATTCTTCCCCCCCAAACAACCATTCGCATTGTCCTCAATGCATCTATATAAGAGAAAAAGGAGAAAGCATTAAATGTGCAAACTGATTTTCACTCTTCATCCTTCTGATTTTCTTTTGTATTAATCCGTGTCATGATATGCACTTCCTCTAGAACGCTGGATCTGTTCGCTTAATAAAAACTCAAGAAAAACATCAAAGGATAGAAAAATATAATAAAAAAGGAATGTAGTGGAAAAGAAAGCTATGCCGTCTTAGAGTACATGATGGAGGGGAAGTTATAAGAAGATTGAGGTTCAATGGATGGATCATATAATTGAGTGGAAATGGGTAAAGAAGGAGGGTTCGTTTCTAAATAAGGTTTTAATCTTTGCCCATTCACATTAAAATTTTTACGAGTTTTTAGATCTGCAATTAATACTGCACCACAGTCAAAAACTTTAATCACAAGGTATGGTCTATCCCATCTAGATTTTAATTTCTCGAGGAATAGTTTCAATCGAGAATTGTAAAGCAAAACTTTTTGATGCTCATGAAAACTCTTTCTGTTCACCTTCTTGTTATAAAAAGCCTTCATTTTTGCTCTATAAATCTTCTTGATAAGTCTTCATTATCATGAGTTAATAATTTATAAATAGTATAGTTTTAACCTTAACTCGTGATAAATAGACTTATATTTGTGGTAAAGTGTGAAAAGTTGTTTTTAATTGATTAATGTGATTTTTTGGGTAATTATGTGATTTTGTACGAATTTATATGATTTTTACAGTCTTACTTTTGAGATAAATGAAGAAAAAGAAATAAATTAAAAATATTGCAAAATGGGGGGACCCGCCGGAGAGCCGAGCCCGCAAGCGGGTCAGAAGTGGGTCGGAAGTGCAATCGGGGAGTAACCGCGAGTAGGGGCTCGAGCGGCTTGAACCGATAATGTGGGCACGTGTGCGTCACTCCCCTTCCACGTCACCGGTGGCCAGCCGGCTGTGGGGCAAGGAGTGGTCGTACACGCGTGCTTGATCGCGAATCTAGTATTACTTTATATTCGCCATAAACTTCGGCGCACAACTGATGTGGGACTAAACCTGCGTCACCTTCCCTAGATAGGGGGGGCAACCGGCGCAGGTTCAATTCCTCCTAGAGCAAAAACTTATATTTTTATCTAATTATCGCGACTTTCCTGCATATCGCCGGTGAAGGATTAAGCAACTAGAATCGTTGGATCATCGGTAAAAATCTCGTCAATGCGATTCGCAGAGCATTGTTACTAAAATTGCTGAAGGATTCGCGATAAAAGGATCGCAAATCCATTGAGTAAATCATCTCCGATTGATCGACGAACAAGCCATTGTCAGGAAGAAGACGATCCGCCGAGAGATAAGTCGCCACCTCCTGAGAGCGTACCAGATGCAATGAAGAGTCTCCTCTTACTGCGCGGACCTAAGGATGAAACTCCATGACACGTGCCCCACCTCTATCCAGCTCCTCTCCGTCGGGTGACAGCTGCCGGAGAGCCGCAAAGTCGCCGTTTTTCTGCTCCGCTGGGTGACAGCCACCGGAGATGATTTGATGGCCCATTTCATTAATCTCTAAACTTCGCAAGGAAATCTAGAGATTGCCCACGTCGTCTTTGTCCAAAGAGAGCCTTCGAGGTCGTGGACACTACACGACAATTCTCCCGAATGCTCAAGATTCCGGTGCATCGCCAAGGCATCACCGCCGCGACGTCGGAACTCTATTTTCCTGCTTTGAACTTACTTTACGCTTCATTTAGTGATAATTTGTGTGATTTGAATTTACCAAAATATACTTCGTTCACTTACAATTCTTCTGGCTTTTATAGATCTTAATTTGATTAATTAAATCGTCTGTAATCGCTTATGTAAGAATCATCAAGCGGAACTCTGATTCCACCCGATTCGCATTCGCTGGGGCGCTGATGTCATCCTGACATCCGCAGCCTTATTTCCTTTTTTTGTGAATTGTAAATATATTTTGTTTTCATTTCTTAGTATAAAATTCATAGAAAATAGTATTCTTTGGGGAAAAATCTGAATAATTACCAGATATTATATTACATCTTTGTGATTGACTTGGAAAATTACCGCTATTTTTTTGGAAGTTTTATTGAATTATAATTGATATATTTGTTCAGAAATACTTCTAAATATCTGAAAAATCATATTTTCTTGTTTTATAAATTTCAGATTTGCGTGATTTAATATACAACAACTGAGTCACGTCAAATTTTGGCGTTGTTGCCGGGGATGCATTGCATAATATTTAGTATTTTTCTGTTTTTCTCTTAGAGTACACAAAAAAAAAATTAACTCTAATTTTATTTTTTTCTTGCCGAATTTTTTTTTTAAAAAAGGGAATGAAAAGAAGCAAGGCAAGGACTGGAGCATACTGAAGGAGGGTAACAATTAATAAACTTTTCCCTCAAATTTATTGATTTTTTATGCATGATAGAAGATCCTTGCATCCAAGGCTAGAAAATCCTTTCATTATTTCATTCAAAACTAAAAACCCAAAAGAAAAATTAATTTTGATAGATCTTGAAGAAAGTACAGGTCAAACTGAGAACAATCCTATGGCCATGAAAAATTATTATATCCCTGATTCATTTCAAAGAGCATCCAATATTAGAGTCCCATTAGCACCCAATGTTAAATTCGAAATAAATCTAGGAATTTTTCAAATGCTCCATAATTTTCATGGATTGCCTTTAGAAGAACCTCATCAGCAGTTAAATAAATTTCATATGGTCTGTGATTTAGTTAATTTCCCTCAAGTTACACAATAAATTATTAAGATGAAATTATTTCCTCACACACTTAGGGACGAAGCTAGCCATTGGCTATCCACATAGGTAGATAATTAACTAGTTAGAAAGACATAGAACAGGCCTTTCTTTGAAAATTTTATCCCTTAGGAAAAATTCAAAATATGAGAAAACATATATGGAGTTTTTCTCAAAGACCAGGAGAAACTTTACATGAGACATGGGAAAAATTCAAAGATTTACTTAGAAAGTGTCCTCATCATTCTATACCCAAGTGGCAGCTCAATAGAATTTTTTATGATAGATTATTAGAACAACATAGAAATATGGTTTATTCTATATGTGGAGGAGCTTTTATGGAGAAAACCCTTGATGAGATTTACAGTCTTTATGAGAATTTAAGTGAAAATTCTAGAGATAAGAAGAGAGGAATTCATGAATTACATCATCATAATGATTCTAAATTTAGAAATGAGGTTAATATGATTAATCAAAGATTATAAAAACTTGATTTACTTATTGACAATATTAGAAAGCCTCTTAACCCGCAATTTAATTCAAATAGTACATGTCCTATGTATGGTGAAAATGATCATTTCAAATTTCAATATCATCCTAGGCAAGAACAAGTGCAGGTACCCCATGATTATAGTAAAAATAGAGAATATTTTTCTAATTCTTATAATTCTTATTGGGAAAATAATTTTTCATGGAGAAACCCAAATAATATTCAAAATCTAGAAGCACTTAGATTCAATTCAAATTTTGAATTTCGTCCAAAACAAGAAAACAGATTTCAGAAAAATCAGCCCTGTCAAACCCAACCTGATACTATGGATATGATGCAGCAAATGAGCCAAATGATGCAACAAACTATGAATCAAATGATGCTGCACAAGAAACAAATTATAGAGGCTCTTGGGAATAAGAGAGAAGAGGGACAGCTACCTAGTCAGCCCATAGAAAATTCAAGAAACTGTCCAACAGTAAGATTTCAGCAAGGAGAGTCTAGCTGGATAAATTTAGAAAAAAACCCATGAAATGAAAATGTTAGGTCAGTGAATATATAGAGAGAATATTTTACCTGATCCTTATTTCCAATTATTAAAAGAAATCGATGAGGCATTAGAAGTAAATGAGAATATTAATGATGAAAATATAGTAGCAGAAAATTTGAATAAAAACATTTATTACTCACAATTGATGAATGAATATAGTGAGGATGATGAGGAGAAAGGGCCCTTAGATGAAGAAACAGCAGCTGATCATGGAAAAATCATCCAAATTTTAGTAGAAGGGAGTAAGGACAGAAATGAAGAAAAACATATTTCAGGTGAGGAAAAATCAATTGATTTGGGAGATGTAGGAGACGAAATTAATAAATCTAATCATAATTTTGTAGCCATGGATGTTGATTGTGAGGATGATGATGTATATCATATACTGAAATTAAAAGATAGCTCTTGGGAAGATGAAGAATTTGATGAGTTGAGAAACGAAAAGCTAGAAAAAGAGTTGATTCAACTAATGGGGAGAAACGAAAATAATGGATATAAATATAAAGATAATTTTGGAGGAGAAAATTTGAATTTTATTGAATTCATTAGATCTGAGATTAAAGAAGACAATCCTTCCATCCTTCAAAACCCACAGCCCATTAGAATTACTTCTAAGCTTGAAATATTTCACTCCTCGCAAATTGAACAAATATGTATGGAAGATAAAATGGGGCAGGGGAAGATTATGCAGATAAAAGAACACATTAAGAAATGGGTGAGTGGAAGAATTAGAGATATCAATTTAGATGAAAAAATTCTAGATTGGGTAGGAGCTAATTTGAAAATTATATGGCCTGATCACATTTTATGGTCTATTAATAGAAAGTATTTATTAATGAATGAGAGCCTTACAAAACAAGATAGAAATAAGGAAAGATTCTTTTCAAAATGAAAATATTATTTTTGGGAAAATTTTGTTAATTTCCATTTTTTTTTGGCTGAAAGTATGTCAAGGTATATATATGAAGTATATGAATTTATGCTAAATCTGAAAAAGAATATCATGAAACTTACCTTGGGGTACAAATATATTTTGATGGCCATAGATCATCTTATATGATCTAAGAGCTGTCCAACTGAAGACATTAAATTCAGTGCGAGCGAGGAAGGGATGCAGAAGAACTCGACGGAGAGGAGAGGAGAAGGCGGCCGGCTGTCCGAACTCTGCCGTGCTTCGTAGAGCGAGGACGCATCCACAGAAAGAAAGCGAGAGCAAGATAGAGTGAGAGAGAGCAGACAGACAAAGGGAGTGAGAAAAGGCGCGAAAGAAAGAGACATCAATGACAGCCTCACTCTATCACCCGCTCCTCTTTTACGTTCTGCCATTAGGTACGGATCTCCAATTACATTTCTCTCTAGGGTCTGACATAAATTGTGCCAATTTCTGTTCACGATGTCCATTGAAATGTCGTCGAATCCGTGTGGGCCACGTGTCCCACATCTGCTTAAGTCTCATGCTAACTCGTCGGTTCTACTTCCACTGTCGACCTGTTGATGGTTTAACTTTTAGCCTCTGAATATTCTGGCCCATTGGGTCACTTGGCTCGGCCCAGCCCAACTCATTCTGATTTTCTTTTATTTTAGACCTTTATTAATTCCTAAAAAATATCAAAAACTCTTAGAAATTATGAGAAATTCTAGAAAAATTCAGAAAATCCAGAATAAATTCTAGAAAATCCTAAAACTCACATAAAAAATATTTCATGCATAATTATTTAAAATTAATTATCTTAAAATAATATTAAAAATATTAAAATGCATGTTTATGTTCTGAATACGTACAAATTAAATGTAACATGTATTATTTCTATTAATTTTATGCACTAAATATTGATAAATATAAGGTAAATACAGATAATGAAGACTTATCAACCACAACATAATAACTAGACTAAGATGATCTAGTTCAATCGTTTTCGTCCACAATATACTATCATTAGCCATTTATTATCGCACCACATACCCATGAATACAACCTAAAATTCCTTCATACTTCAAAGAATAATGATCATGGTAAAGAATTCACCTATCTTTTTTTCATGAGATCCACACCCCTAATCTAGAGAAGGTAAACTTTTCTAATTGACTTACCCTTTTAAAGGAGCATTAGGCTTTGTTCGTTTAAGCATACGTGTTTGTGCAATAATCAATGCAGCAAAAGTTTTAAAATATTCATAACATTTTTGAATTTTTTTTGTTCTCCCCCCTACTTGAATGATGCATTATCTCTAATGCATGCAAATGAAGGAAGAGATAACCTCCCCCCTACTTAAGTCTTGCATTGTCCTTAATGCATGTGAGAGAAGGGAAAAGAGAAGAAAATTCTGATTTTTATGCCCCATCTACTACACTGTTGCCCCTGAATGGTTCTAACTAAAGCACTCGACTAATAAAATATGTCTAAAATAAAAGCTAGTAAGAAAATTGACGTGAATTAGTCATTGTATATTAAATCATGCAAATATAAAATTTATAAAACTAGAAAATACGAATTTTTGGATATTTAGAAGTATTTCTGAACAAATATATCAATTATAATTCAATAAAAGTTCCAAAAATAGCGGTAATTTTCCAGGTCAATCACAAGGATGTAATATAATATATGGTAATTATTCAAAATTTTCCTCAGAGAATACTATTTTATATGAATTTTATACCAAGAAATGAAAAGGAAATATATTAAAATTCACAAAAAAAGGAAATAAGGGTGCGGACGTTAGGATGACGTCAGCGCCCGGCGAACGCAAATCGGGTGGAAAAAGAGTTCCACCCGACGATTCTTACGTAAGCGATTACAGACAATTTAATTAATCAAATTAAGATGTGTAAAAGCCAGAAGAATTGTAACAGAACAAAGTATATTTTGGTAAATTAAAATCACAAAAATTATCACTAAATAAAGCGTAAATTAAGTTAAAAGCAGGAAAACAGAGTTCCGACGTCGCGACGGCGATCCGTCGGCGATGCACCGGAATCCTGAGCATTCGGGAGGATCGTCGTGTAGTGTCCACAGCCTTGAAGGCTCTCTTTGGACAAAGATGACGTGGGCAATCTCTAGATCTCCTTGCAAAGTCTAGAGATTAATGGAATGGGTCGTCGAATCGTCTCCGGCGGCTGTCACCCGGCGGAGCAAGAAAACGGCGACTTTGCGACTCTCCAGCGGCTGTCACGTGACAGAGAGGAGCTGGATGGACGTGGGGCGCGTGTTAGGGAGCTTCATCCTCAAGTCCGCACAGCAAGAGGAGGCTCTTCATCGCATCTGGTACGCTCTCAGGAGGTGGCGACTCGTCTCCCGGCGGATCGCCCTCTTCCCGACGACGGCTTGTTCGTCGATCAATCGGAGATGATTTACTCGATGGATTCGCGATCCTTTTATCGTGAATCGTTCAGCAATTTTAGTAACAATGCTTCGCGAATCGTGTTGACGAGATTTTTGCCGATGATCCAGCGATTCTCGTTGCTTAATCCTTCATCGACGATCTGCAGGAAAGTCGCGATAATCAGATAAAAATATATGAATTTTGACTCTGGGAGGATTCAAACCTGCGCCGGTTGTCCGCCCCTTCTGAGGAAGGTGTGATGCGGGTTTAGTCCCACATCGGTTGTGCGCCGATTTTTCGGGCGAATATATAGTAATGTTAGCTTTCTAAGCAAAGTTCTTTCTCTCGCGTGTACGACCACTCCTTGCCCCACAGCCGGCTGGCCACCGGTGACATGGAAGGGGAGTGGCGCACACGTGCCCCTATCGGTCCAAGCCGCTCAAGCCCCTGCTCGCGGCTACTCCCCGACTGAGCTTCCGACCCGCTTGCAGGCCCGGTTGGCTGGCGGGTCCCCCCCTCATTTTATTTTTATTTCTTTTTCTTCATTTATCTCAAAAGTAAGATTGTAAAAATCAAATAAATTCATGTAAAATCACATAATGACCTAAAAATTCACATTAATCAACTGAAAACAACTTTTCACACTTTAACACAAATATAAGTCTATTTATCATGAGTTAAGGTTAAAACTATATTATTTACTAATTATTAACTCATGATAATGAAGACTTATCACACCCGCCAACTTAAATCATTGCTAGTCCCTTAGCAATGGAATTACGAAAATAAAAATTTACAAATCTCAAACATCATATTTCAATACAGAAAGAAAAAAAATACAATTAGAAATGATGCACCTTTAGACACTTTGGATTCTTATATCAAGTATTTTAGAATGATGTCAAGCGCTTAAATGTTTAAACACTTCTTGGAATAACAATCTAGACTTCACTTCTTCTATTCACATCTTTATCACTTCTTCACTCATAGATGTATTTACAAGATGTTCCAATTATCAATACTCATCCAAGAATAATATTGATCCTACATTTCCCTTTTTCTATGGCTTGATTTTTGAAGTTTGCACTATATTTCTTCTTTCTTTATATATAGTGGATAAGTAGCTTTTCCTATAGACAAATTTCGACAATAAGAATGATGTCTCACAGCCTCCATGTGTACTCTTCATTTTCAGGGCTTTCACTTTATCCACTTATTTTGCAGCAAGTGTTTTTCTATACACGATTTTCGACAATGAGAATGATGTCTCACACCCTCCATGTGTAGTCTTCGTTTCTAGATTTTTCACATTGCTCTCTCTTTTTTTTTTTTCTCGAAATAAGTGATTTCTCCTCACAGGTCCTATAGATCAGGGTGCAAAAATCTTCATTAAACTCAAATGATCAATCAAATTTTCACATCAAGTAAATATTATCCATCAAGATCATGAAGTGAAAATCTGTAAAATCAAATCCATGTTATCTATCATGTATCCAAGGAGTATTCTAACATTTCATGCTACTAAATCATTCTTTTGACTCAATAATAATCTTCCTAGTATCTTTTGGTATCAATCAATCTAATTGATTTAATGCATGCAATATGATGTAAGAAATTTGCAAATTAGATAGTTCTGACAATTCTGTTTTCTATTTTCAGTTCTATTTTAGCAGCAATAAATTTGTCAAAAATAAATCAAAACTATCTTCTTTATAGCTGTAATTTCGATTTTCAGTAGTATATGTCTAGGGGATTGAAATTTGAGAAAAGGGTCTCTATAATTTCAAATTTCAGGTTGTTTTTTCGTTTGCTGTTTTTGACAGTCTGTTGTTCTTGACAGAAAACCAGAAAATAGATGTTGCAGTTTTTCTGAATTTTATTTTATTTTTTATTTTTTTTAGTTGCTGTTCTAAGTTGAATAAAATGCAAACACATGTTCTTAATCGTCTTACAGCATAAATTAATAATGAATGACATTGTCCTCAATGACACAAAAAAATCGAAACAGAATATACAGAAAATATAATTTTCACGTGAAGCATGTAGATATGCAAAGTTAAGCATTAAAAATGTTGTCATAAATGATAAAGCTCCGAAAGACATCACCTCAACCTTATTTTTAATTTTCCACTTCGTCTTACACTCCTCCTCCTACACTTTTTCGAAAAAACAAATACAGAAACAAGTATTGCGAAATTCTAAGAAAAACAGAACTTAAAAAAATCAGACAGAATGAAATAAAAACCATGGGTTGCCTCCCATGCAGCGCTGTATTTAATGTCTTCAGCTGGACAGCTCTTAGATCATATAAGATGATCTATGGCCATCAAAATATATTTGTATCCCAAGGTAAGTTTCATGATATTCTTTTTCAGATTTAGCATAAATTCATATACTTCATATATATACCTTGACATACTTTCAGCCAAAACAAAATTAACAAAATCTTCCCAAAAATAATATTTCCATTTTGAAAAGAATCTTTCCTCATTTCTATCTTGTTTTGTAAGGCTCTCATTCATTAATAAATACTTTGTATTAATAGACCATAAAATGTGATCAGGCCATATAATTTTCAAATTAGCTCTTACCCAATCTAGAATTTTTTCATCTAAATTGATATCTCTAATTCTTCCACTCACCCATTTCTTAATGTGTTCTTTTATCTACATAATCTTCCCGTGCTCCGTTTTATCTTCCATACATATTTGTTCAATTTGCGAGGAGTGAAATATTTCAAGCTTAGAAATAATTCTAATGGGCTGTAGGTTTTGAAGGATGGAAGGATTGTCTTCTTTAATCTTAGATCTAATGAATTCAGTAAAATTCAAATTTTCTCCTCCAAAATTATCTCTATATTCATATTCATTATTTTCGTTTCTCCCCATTAGTTGAATCAAATTATTTTCTAGCTTTTCGTTTCTCAACTCATCAAATTCTTCATCTTCCCAAGAGCTATCTTTTAATTTCGGTATATGATATACATCATCATCAACATCCATGGTTGGAAAATTATGATTAGATTTATTAATTTCGTCTCCTACATCTCCTAAATCAACTGATTTTTCCTCACCTGAAATATGTTTCTCTTCATTTCTGTCCTTACTCCCTTCTACTAAAATTTGGATGATTTTTCCATGATCAGCTGCTGTTTTTTCATCTAAGGGCTCTTTCTCCTCATCATCCTCACTATATTTATTCATCAATTGTGAGCAATAAATAATTTTATTCAAATTTTCTGCTACTATATTTTCAGCCTTAATATTCTCATTTACTTCTAATGGCTCATCAATTTCTTCTAATAATTGGAAATAAGGATCAGGTAAAATATTCTCAATCAATGTATTCACTGTCCTAACATTTTCATTTCGTGGGTTTTTTTCTAAATTTATCCAGCTAGACTCTCTTTGCTGAAATCCTATTGTTGGATAGTTTCCTGAATTTTCTATGAGCTGACTAGGTGGCTGTCCCTCTTCACTCTTATTCCCAAGAGCCTCTATAATTTGTTTCTGGTGCAGCATCATTTGATTCATAGTTTGTTGCATCATTTGGCTCATTTGCTGCATCATTTTCATAGCATCAAGTTGGATTTGAGAGGACTGATTTTTTTGAAATCTGTTTTCTTGTTTTGGACGAAATTCAAAATGTGAATTGGATCTAAGTGCTTCTGGATTTTGAATATTATTTGGGTTTCTCCACGAAAAATTATTTCCCCAATTAGGATTATAAGAATTAGAAAAATATTCTCTATTTTTACTAAAATCGTGGGGTACCTGCACTTGTTCTTGCCTATGATGATATTGAAATTCGAAATGATCATTTTCACCATACATAGGACCTGCACTATTTGAATTAAATTGAGGGTTAAGAGGCTTTCTAATATTGTCAATAAGCAAATCAAGTTTTTCTAATCTTTGATTAATCTGATTAACCTCATTTCTAAATTTAGATTCATTATCATGATGCAATTCATGAATTCCTCTCTTCTTATCCTTGTCATATAATTCAAAAGAGGCTTGATCTCTAGAATTTTCACTTAAATTTTTATAAAGACTGTAAATCTCATTAGGGGTTTCCTCCATAAAAGCTCCTCCACATATAGAATCAACCCTATTTCTATGTTGTTCTAATAATCCATCATAAAAAATTCTATTGAGCTGCCACTTAGGTATAGCATGATGAGGACACTTTCTAAGTAAATCTTTGAATGTTTCCCATGTCTCATGTAAAGTTTCTCCTAGTCTTTGAGAAAAATTCCATATATGTTTTCTCATATTTTGAGTTTTTCCTAAGGGATAAAATTTTCGAAGAAAGGCCTGTTCTATGTCTTTCCAGCTAGTTAATTCTCTATCTAATGTGGATAGCCAATGGCTAGCTTTGTCCCTAAGTGTATGAGGAAATAATTTCATCTTAATAATTTCTGGTGTAACTTGAGGGAGATTAACTAAATCACAGACCATATGAAATTTATTTAAGTGCTGATGAGGTTCTTCTAAAGGCAATCCATGAAAATTAGGGAGCATTTGAAAAATTCCTAGATTTATTTCGAATTTAACATTGGGTGCTAATGGGACTCTAATATTGGATGCTCTTTGAAATGAATTAGGGATATAATAATTTTTCATGGCCATAGGATTGTTCTCAGTTTGACCTGTACTTTCTTCAGGATCTATCAAAATTAATTTTTCTTTCGGATTTTTATTTTTGAATGAAATAATGAAAAGATTTTCTAGCCTTGGATGCAAGGATCTTCTACCATGCATAAAAATCAATAAATTCGAAGGAAAAAATTAGTAATTGTTACCCTCCTTCAGGATGCTCCAGTCCTTGTCTTGCTTCTTTTCGTTCACTTTTTCTAAAAAAAATCGGCAAAAAGAAAATAAAACAAGAGTTAAATTTTTTTGTGTACTCGAAGAGAAAAATAGAAAAATACTAAATATTATGCAATACATCCCCGGCAACGGCGCAAAAATTTGACGTGACTTAGTCGTTGTATATTAAATCATGCAAATATTAAATTTATAAAACTAGAAAATACGAATTTTTAGATATTTAGAAGTATTTCTGAACAAATATATCAACTATAATTCAATACAATTTCCAAAAATAGCAATAATTTTCCAGGTCGATTAGAGGGATGTAATATAATATCTGGTAATTATTCAGAATTTTCCTCAGAGAATACTATGTTATATGAATTTTATACTAAGAAATGAAAAGGAAATATATTTAAAATTCACGAAAAAAAGAAATAAGGGTGCGGACGTTAGGATGACGTCAACATCCGGCAAATGCGAATCGGGCGAAAACAGAGTTCTGCCCGACGATTCTTACGTAAGCGATTACAGATGATTTAATTGATCAAATTAAGATCTGTAAAAGCCAGAAGAATCGTAATAGAACAAAGTATATTTTGGTAAATTAAAATCACAAAAATTATCACTAAATGAAGCGTAAATTAAGTTAAAAGCAGGAGAACAGAGTCCCGACATCGCGACGGCGATGCGTCGGCGATGCACCGGAATCCTAAGCATTCGGGAGGATCGTCGTGTAGTGTCCGTGGCCTTGAAGGCTCTCTTTGGACAAAGATGACGTGGGCAATCTCGAAATCTCCTTGCAAAGTCTAGAGATTAATGGAATGGGTCGTCGAATCGTCTCTGGCGGCTGTCACCCGGCGGAGCAAGAAAACGGCGACTTTGCGACTCTCCAGCGGCTGTCACCCGACAGAGAGGAGCTGGATGGACGTGGGGCGCGTGTTAGGGAGCTTCATCCTCAGGTCCGCACAGCAAGAGGAGGCTCTTCATCGCATCTGGTACACTCTTAGGAAGTGGTGACTCGTCTCCCGGCGGATCGTCCTCTTCCCGACGACGGCTTGTTCGTCGATCAATCGGAGATGATTTACTCGATGGATTCGCGATCCTTTTATCGTGAATCGTTCAGCAATTTTAGTAGCAATGCTTCGCAAATCGCGTTGACGAGATTTTTGCCGATGATCCAGCGATTCTCGTTGCTTAATCCTTCATCGGCGATCTGCAAGAAAGTCGCGATAATCAGATAAAAATATATGAATTTTGACTCTGGGAGGATTCGAACCGGCGTCGGTTGTCCGCCCCTTCTGAGGAAGGTGTGATGCGGGTTTAGTCACATATCGGTTGTGCGCCGATTTTTCGGGCGAATATATAGTAATGTTAGCTTTCTAAGAAAAGTTCTCTCTCTCGCATGTACGACCACTCCTTGCCCCACAGCCGGCTGGCCATCGGTGGCATGGAAGGGGAGTGGCGCACACGTGCCCCTATCGGTCCAAGCCACTCAAGCCCCTACTCGCGGCTACTCCCCGACTGAGCTTCTGACCCGCTTGCGAGCCCGGCTGGCCGGCGGGTCCCCCCCTCATTTTATTTTTATTTCTTTTTCTTCATTTATCTCGAAAGCAAGACTGTAAAAATCAAATAAATTCATATAAAATCACATAATTACCTAAAAATTCACATTAATCAACTGAAAACAACTTTTCACACTTTAACACAAATATAAGTCTATTTATCATGAGTTAAGGCTAAAACTATATTATTTACTAATTATTAACTCATGATAATGAAGGCTTATTAGAAATGCATAAAAAGAAATGATAGTTATCCTCAAGATAAATTATGTGCATACACACAAATAGATCAAGTCCTCAAATATCTGCTAGAGACCAGCCAATCACCTCTCTCTATGTCCTAAGTACATCAAGTAATCTATTCTCTTGATCCTTAGACAAATATGATGATATAATCATTGGATAAGCTTGATGTTAATCAAAAATACATACTTTAGTGAAGATGGTTGATAAGTCTTCATTATCATGAGGTAATATTTTATAGTTTTAATCTTAACTCATGATAAATAGACTTATATTTATTTCAAATTATGAAAAATAGTTTTTAGTTGGTTAATTTGGCTAATTATGGGATCTTATGTGAATTTATATAATTTTTATAATCTTATTTTTGAGGTAAATGAAGACAAAAAAAATAAAAAGATAGAAGAAAGAGGAAACTTGCCGCCTAGTCGAACCCACAAGTGGGTTGGAAGCATAGATAGGCAAAATCGTGAGTAAGGGCTTGAGTGGCTAAAGACGGACCGATAGGTGACACATTTGTGTCACTCCCCTTCCACATCATCAATGGCCAGTCGGGCATGCGACAAAGAGCGACCGTACACATGTGAGAAAGGGACACATTGATTATCAAGTCTAGTATTACTATATATCAACCTCAAAACTCGGAATATAATCAAATGTGGGACTAAACCTGGGGTCACAGCCTTTGAAAAGTTTTAATAATTTTAATACCTAAAATATCCCTTGTTTAGTAAACCACACAAATTTAAAATTTATAAAACTAGAAAATACTAATTTTTAGATATTTAGAAGTATTTTTTAATAATTATATCAATTATAATTTAATCAAAGTTCTAAAAATAGTGGAGATTTTTTAGGTCAATCATAGGGATGTAATATAATATAAACGTAATATTTTAGAAATGTTCTCAAAGAATAAGATTTTTTATGAATTTTAAACTAAAAAAAGAAAAGAAAATATATTTAAAATTTGTGAAAAAGGGAAATAAAGGTGTAGATGTCAAGATGATGTCAGCACCTAACGAATGTGAACCGGGCAGAAATAGAATTCTGCCTGGTGATTTTTACATAAGCGATTATAGATGATTTAATTAGTCAAATTAAGATCTGTAAAAGCTAGAAGAATCATTACAAGAAGTATTTTGCAAGCCTTGTTGATCCTAATTTCACTTGTGGAAGCCCCACGAAATCAGCTAAGGCGCTACTACGATTTTTTTTTTTTTTTCTAGTGTAATCTTTACCATGTTCTATCCTTTTGTCTTAGGTTTAATCATGATTAATAATTTGTAAAAGCATCAACTAATTTGAAAACTTTTCAACTGACTACTGATCAAGAAAGAGAAGGATTCAATTTACTACTCATAGTTAATAATAAGAATTCATAACATAAATCTGGCAGAAGATCAAAGTAGATTTTCTCAATTTAAGAGTGTGGGTTATATGCACCATGAAAGATCATGAACTTCATCATTTAGTTATAAGCATTATAGCACCTGTGTAATCTCATGTATTCACCCTCATGCATTTATTCTTCCCCCCCAAACAACCATTCGCATTGTCCTCAATGCATCTATATAAGAGAAAAAGGAGAAAGCATTAAATGTGCAAACTGATTTTCACTCTTCATCCTTCTGATTTTCTTTTGTATTAATCCGTGTCATGATATGCACTTCCTCTAGAACGCTGGATCTGTTCGCTTAATAAAACCTCAAGAAAAACATCAAAGGATAGAGAAAAATAATAAAAAAGAAATGTAGTGGAAAAGAAAGCTATGACGTCTTAGAGTACATGATGGAGGGGAAGTTATAAGAAGATTGAGGTTCAATGGATGGATCATATAATTGAGTGGAAATGGGTAAAGGAGGGTTCATTTCTAAATAAGGTTTTAATCTTTGCCCATTCACATTAAAAATTTTACCAGTTTTCAGATCTGCAATTAATACTGCACCACAGTCAAAAACTTTAATCACAAGGTATGGTCCATCCCATCTAGATTTTAATTTCTCAAGGAATAGTTTTAATTGAAAATTGTAAAGCAAAACTTTTTAATGCTCATGAAAACTCTTTCTGGTCACCTTCTTGTTATAAAAAGCCTTCATTTTTGCTTTGTAAATTAGAGACTTCTCATACATCTCATTGGGTAGTTCTTGAAGCTCTTGCAACTACAACATACGGTGCTTACCTACGACGTCTAAAGAGAGATTAAGATTCTTTATAGCCTAATAAGTCTTATGTTGGATCTTCATAGGAAGGTGACAAACCTTTTGGACGCTACTTAGTCGTTGTATTGTAAATCATGTAAATTTAAAAATTATAAAACTAGAAAATACTAATTTTAGATATTTAGAAGTATTTCTGAACAAATATATCAATTATAATTCAATAAAACTTACAAAAAAAGTAGTAATTTTCCAAGTCGATCATAAAGATGTAATATAATATTGGGTAACTTTTTAGTATTTTTCTCAAAGAATATAATTTTTTTATGAATTTTATACTAAGAAATGAAAATAAAGTATATTTAAAATTTGTGAAAAAACAAAATAAGGGTGCGGATGTTAGGATGACGTCAGCATCCAACAAACGCAAATCAAATAGAAATAGTGTTCCGCCTATTGATTCTTGCGTAAGTGATTACAGATGATTTAACTGATCAAATTAAGATCTATAAAAGGTGGAAGAATCGTAATTGAATGAAATATAGCTTCGTAAATTTAAATCACACAAATTATCATTAATGAAGTAGAAATTAAGTTGAAAGTAGAAAAATAGAGTTCCAACATCGCGACAGTAATATGTTGACGATGCATGGGAATTCTGAGCATTAGGAAAGATTGTCGTGCAGTGTCCACAGCCTCGAAGGCTCTCCTTGGACAAGGATGACGTAGGCAATCTCTAGATATCCTTGTGAAGTCTAGAGATCAATAAAATGGGTCGTCGAATTGTTTTAGACAGCTGTCATTTGGCGGAGTGAAAAAATGACAACTTTGTGGCTCTCTAGTGGCTATCACTGACGTGACTTAGTCATTGTATATTAAATCATGTAAATATAAAATTTATAAAATTAGAAAATACAAATTTTTAGATATTTAGAAGTATTTCTATAGAAATATATCAATTATAATTTAATAAAACTTCCAAAAATACTAATAATTTTCTTGGTCGATCACAAGGATGTAATATAATATCTGGTAATTATTCAGAATTTTCGGGAAAGGATACTATTTTCTATGAATTTTATACTAGGAAATAAAAAGGAAATATATTTAAAATTCACGGAAAAAGGAAATAAGGGTGCAAACGTCAGGATGATGTCAGCACCCGGCGAACGCGAATTGGGTGGAAATAGAATTCCGCCGGTGATTCTTTTGTAAGCGATTACAGATGATTTAATTGATCAAATTAAGATCTGTAAAATCCAGAAGAATCGTAATTGAACGAAGTATATTTTGGTAAATTAAAATCACACAAATTATCACTAAATGAAGCGTAAAGTAAGGTAAAAGCAGGAAAACAAAGTTCTGATGTCGTGGCGGTGATACGTCGATGATGCACCAGAATCCTGAGTGTCCGGGAAGATAGTCGTATAGTGTCCATGGCCTCGAAGGCTCTCCTTGGACAAGGACAATGTGGGCAATCTCTAGATCTCCTTGTGAAGTCTAGAGATTAATGAAATGGGTCGTCGAGTCATCTCCGGCGGCTGTCACCCGGCAGAGCGGAAAAATGGCGACTTTGCGGCTCTTCGGCGGCTGTCACCCGATGGAGAGGAGTTGGATGGAGGTGGGGCACATGTCAAGGAGCTTCATCCTCAGGTCCGCTGATAAGTCTTCATTATCATGAGTTAATAATCAGTAAATAGTATAATTTTAGCCTTAACTCATGATAAATAGACTTATATTTGTGTTAAAGTGTGAAAAGTGGTTTTCAGTTGATTAACGTGAATTTTTGGATAATTATGTGATTTTATATGATTTTTACAGTCTTACTTTTGAGATAAATGAAGAACAAGAAATAGAAATAAAAATATTGCAAAATGGGGGGACCTGCAAGGGGGTCGGAAGCGCAGTTGGGGAGTAGCCGCGAGCAGGGGCTCGAGTGGCTTGGCTTGGACCGATAAGGGGACGTGTGCGCCACTCCCCTTCCACGTCACCGGTGGCCAGCCGGCTGTGGGGCAAGGAGTGGTCGTACACGCGAGAGAAGTCACTTTGCTTATAAAGCTAACATTACTATATATTCGCCCAAAAAATTGGCGCACAACTGATGTGGGACTAAACCCGCGTCACACCTTCCTCAGAAGAGGCGGGCGACCGACGCGGGTTTGAATCCTTCTAGAGTCAAAATTCATATATTTTTATCTGATTATCGCGACTTTTGCTGCAGATCGCCGGTGAAGGATTAAGCAACGAGAATCGCTGGATCATCGGTGAAAATCTCGTCAACACGATTTGCGGAGCATTGCTACTAAAATTGTTGAACGATTCACGATAAAAGGATCGCGAATCCATCGAGTAAATCATCTCCGATTGATCGATGAACAAGCCGTCGTCGGGAAGAGGACGATCCGCCGGGAGACGAGTCGCCACCTCCTAAGAGAGTACCAGATGCGATGAAGAGCCTCCTCTTGCTGCGCGGACCTGAGGATGAAGCTCCCTGACATGCGCCCTACCTCCATCCAGCTCCTCTCCGTCGGGTGACAGCCGCCGGAGAGCCGCAAAGTTGCCGTTTTTCTGCTCCGCCGGGTGACAGTCGCTGGAGACGATTCGACGACCCATTTCATTAATCTCTAGACTTCGCGAGAAGATCTAGGGATTGCCCATGTCGTCCTTGTCCAAGGAGAGCCTTCGAGGCCGTGGACACTACACGACGATCCTCCCGAACACTCAGAATTCTGGTGCATCGCCGACGCATCGCCGTCGCGACGCCGGAACTCTGTTTTCCTGCTTTCAACTTACTTTACGCTTCATTTAGTGATATTTTTGTGATTTTAATTTACCAAAATATACTTTGTTCTATTACGATTCTTCCGGCTTTTACAGATCTTAATTTGATCAATTAAATCGTCTGTAATCGCTTACGTAAGAATCGCCGGACGGAACTCTATTTCCGCCCGATTCGCATTCGCCAAGCGCTGACGTCATCCTGACGTCCGCACCCTTATTTCCCTTTTTTGTGAATTTTAAATATATTTCCTTTTCATTTCTTAGTATATAATTCATATAAAATATTATTCATAGAGAAAAATTCTAAATAATTACCAGATATTATATTACATTCTTGTGATCGACCTAGAAAATTACCGCTATTTTTGGAAGTTTTATTGAATTATAATTGATATATTTGTTCAGAAATACTTCTACATATCCGAAAATTCATATTTTCTAGTTTTATAAATTTAATATTTGCGTGATTTAATATACAACTTGATGCACGACGGGGCGAGAACCCCCTATACCTGATCAATGAAACTCGAGTCCCATGATGGGATAGTCGGACCGATTTAATAAGAAGGTTTCGACCCTAGACTCTAGGTCTGACCACGTAACCTAAGCACAGGCAGGCATACCAATATGCGTGATCATCCCAGGACAACCCGGGGAAATACTCGACAATGGTGAGTGAGAGGCCCTCTCGGTCCACGTCCAGACAGACGGTAGAACTGTCGTCATAAAGTAGCCTAGGGCTGCAGCTCACGAACTGTGACGAGTCTGGCGCAGCGTCGGAAGTCACGATCCAATAACCTATCCTATCCTATCTACATGCTCCTGAAGGCGGTAGAGACGAGCTGAGAAAACCCTTCGAAAGATAATTAAACTTAAGTAAGAAGGGGTACAGAGCTAACCTTCAGGGCTGCGTAGCCCGGCGGGTCATGACGGAGCGGAGATCCAACGAAGGCAGGGACGTCCGGTGAAGAGCGATGCTCAGCGTCGACGGTCGGTCCTGGTCGAGAGTCACGGAAGTTGTCGTCTTAGGGTGTGGCACAGTCGGCGTGGGCGTGGGCCTGCAGGTGGGCCAAAGGGCACGCTAGTGGGCGTGGGCCCGCTGGTGGGCCGAAGGGCACGCGGGCAGTTGTGCCGGGTGGCCGCGCAGGCCGCAAGAGCCGGCGCGCAGGGCGCACGTGGCGGCAGCGCTTCGGCGGGAAGGCCGAGCGTCTGCGGCGCTTCGGCAGGGATGCCGAGCGTCAGCGGCGCTTCGGCGGGAATGCCGAGCGTCAGCGGTTGGGGCGGAAACCCAACTGTCACCAGAAGGATCGGCCTCTCTAGCGGCGCCGGGAAGCGGAGCAGAGAGGAGACGATACGGCCGACGATACCAGGGAGGGTTGAGCTCTCCTGGTCTAAGCAGCGCCGGAAACGGCGCGACGGTGGCGGAGTGTCGGGAAAATCCGGCGGGGGCCTGTCAGGAGCTGGGACTGGTTCTGGCTCGTCAGCACGGCTGCGGGGTCTCTTCTGACGTCGGTGGCAGGTCGGCGTTCGTCGGCGAACGGCCAGCGACTGGGCGGAGCGGCGGAGGGCGGCTCCGGCGAATTTATGGTGGAGTTCCGGAGGAAGAGGCGGCAGTCGAACCGGGAGTCGAGAGACTCCGGCGGAGTGCTCGGCGACGGCTCGTGGGGGAGGCGAAGCGAGCCCCTTTCGTCACGGCGGCGTGACGGGGTTCCAGCAGAGGCGGCGGCGGATGCAGTGGCAACCGCGACCGTTTCGTCCGGTGACGGCGGCGAGCTCCCGGGCGGCAATGAGATGGCCGGCGGCGGCAGTGGTCTCAGGCGGCAGCGGGACTTCTCAGGCAGCAGCGTCACGAGGAACGAAGTCCTCGAAGGGGGTATCGATGGCCTTCCTCTTCCTCCTTCCCTCCCTATTCTTGGTCACGAGGAAGATAACTCACAATGATAATTTCTCTCAAAAAATACAGCGCCCTCTGAGGGGGGTCCTACCTCCCCTTATATGGGGGCCACAAGTGGGCTAAGGGGAGGTGGGCCCACTTGAGACCCTCAAGCCCATAAGCCACAAAGGCTACAAAAAGGGGCTTATTGGGCCTCTTAAAGAGAGACCCAATAAGCTCCCCTAAAAGGAGAAAGAGGAGGGCCCTCTTATGGTGCTTAAGTAGGCCTCAAATAAAGACCCAAATAAGTCCCAAAAGAGGCCCAAAAAAAAAGAAAGACACAGGTCCTCCCCCCTTAGGGTTTTAATTGGGCCTCAAAGAAAGACCCAATAAAACCCTAAAGTAAGAGAGACAAACAACAACACACACACATAGAATTGGGCCCGCTAACACACAAACGCGAGGCCCAACAAGTCAACGTGAAAATACAAAGAAAGATATGGGTGAGCTCAAGCTTGTCGTCGTCGCGGAGGTGGAATGTCGTTGTCCCAAAGGGCTAGGCCGTGTAGCGAAAGCCAGGCTCCTTTGTCTTTGTGCGTCGATCGGGCTGAACTCGGACTGCCGGTGTCTCCTGAGCTGATGGAGACAGGTCCTGCTCACCATCACAACGACTAAGTCACGTCAAATTTTGGCACCATTGCCAGGGATGTATTGCATAATATTTAGTATTTCTGTTTTTCTCTTAGAGTACACAAAAAAATAAATAAATTTAAACTCTTATTTTATTTTCTTTTTGCCAATTTTTTATTAGAAAAAGGGAATGAAAAGAAGCAAGGCAAGGACTGGAGCATCCTGAAGGAGGGTAATAGTTACTAACTTTTTCCCTCGAATTTATTGATTTTTATGCATGATAGAAGATCCTTGCATCCAAGGCTAGAAAATCCTTTCATTATTTCATTCAAAAATAAAAATCTGAAAGAAAAACTAATTTTGATGGATCCTGAAGGAAGTACATGTCAAACTGAGAACAATCCTATGGCCATGAAAAATCATTATATCCCTGATTCATTTCAAAGGGCATCTAATATTAGAGTCCCATTAGCACCCATTGTTAAATTCGAAATAAATCTAAGAATTTTTCAAATGCACCCTAATTTTCATGGATTGCCTTTAGAAGAACCTCATCAGCACTTAGAAGAATTTCATATGGTCTGTGATTTAGTTAATCTCCCTCAAATTACACCGGAAATTATTAAGATGAAATTATTCCCTCATACACTTAGGGACAAAGCTAGTCATTGGCTATCCACATTAGATAGAGAATTAACTAGCTAGAAAGATATAGAACAGGCCTTTCTTCGAAAATTTTATCCCTTAAGAAAAACTCAAAATATGAGAAAACATATATGAAGTTTTTCTCAAAGATCAGGAGAAACTTTGCATGAGACATGAGAAAAATTCAAAGATTTACTTAGAAAGTGTCCTCATCATGCTATACCCAAGTGGCAGCTCAATAGAATTTTTTATGATGGATTATTAGAACAACATAGAAATATGGTTGATTCTATATGTGGAGGAGCTTTTATGGAAAAAACTCCTGATGAGATTTACAATCTTTATGAGAATTTAAGTGAAAATTCTAGAGATCAAGCCTCTTTTGAATTATATGACAGGGATAAGAAGAGAAGAATTTATGAATTGCATCATGATGATGATTCTAAACTTAGAAATAAGGTTAATCAGATTAATTAAAGATTAAAAAAAATTGATTTACTTATTGATAATATTAGAAAGCCTTTTAACCCTCAACTTAATAGAAACAGGGAACCTTTTTCAAATTCTTATAATCCGAATTGGAGGAATAATTTTTCATGGAGAGACCCAAATAATATTCAAAATCTAGAAGCACTTAGACCCAATTCAAACTTTGAATTTCGTCCAAAACAAGAAAAACAGATTTCAAAAAAATCAGTCCTCTCAAATCCAACCTGATGCTATGGAAATGATGCAGCAAATGAGCCAAATGATGCAACAAACTATGAATCAAATGATGCTGCACCAGAAATAAATTATAGAGGCTCTTGGGAATAAGAGAGAAGAGGGACAGCTACCTAGTCAGCCCATAGAAAATCCAGGGAACCGCCCAACAATAGGATTTCAGCAAGGGGAGTCTAGTAGCATGAATCTAGGAAAAAACCCACGAAATGAAAATGTTAGGATAGTGAATGCATTAAGGAGTGGTAAGATCTTACCTGATCCTTATCCCCAAACATTAGAAGAAAAAGAAAAAGTGGACAAACCAAAAAAAAATCAAATAAGAGTAGAAGAGGATTTTATAGATTCTACCAAGGAAATTTCGAAAGAGAGGACGACCATTCCATTTCCTAAAGCTCTAGAGCCTAGACAAAGAAAGAAAAAGGAACACAATGAAGAAATAATGAAAATTTTACAAGATGTGCAAATTAGTCTTCCTTTACTCACTACCATTGAACATATTCCTAAATATGCTAGAGTTTTGAAAGAAATGTGTACACCAAAAAGGGCACCTAGAGTAGAAAAATTATCTATGCATGCTAGTGCATTATTACTAAATCAATTACCATATAAATTGAGAGATACATGTGCCCCTTTAAGTTTGTGTGATATTGGTGGATTTACTTTTCAGAAGGCATTACTTGACACCGGTGCTAATATTAATTTATTACCTGCAAGTATTTGTGATAAATTTAATATTTCTGATCTTAAACCTTCTATTGTTACCTTACAATTTGCTGATAGATCCATAAAACATCCTAAAGGTATTTTAGAAAATGTGATAGTGACAGTTAAAGGGTGTAAATTTCTAGCTGATTTTGTAGTGCTGGAAATGGATCTTAATGGACAGTTTTATGATACACCAATCATCCTAGGGAGACCATTTTTGCATACAGCAAAGATGAATATTGATTTTCCCACAAGTATTGCGAAAATTTCATGTGGAGATCAATCACTAGAAATTAAAATTTTTGAGGTATCAAATGATCTTAAGAAATCCCAAGTATATGATTGTCATACCATAGATCTTCTAGATGATTTTGATGATCCAGATGTTATTGATGACTATGTGCTGGAAGAATTAGAGGAAATAAAGAATATAAATTTAGAAGAAAAGAAAGAGAAAGATCATCTGAATTTAGAGTTGAAACCTCTTCCCTCTAGTTTAAAATATATGTTTTTGGAGGAAAATAATTCATTTCCTATTATTATTGCAGCTGATTTGAGTGATGAATAGGAAGAAGAATTATTAGATGTACTTCGAAAAAATAAGAAGGCTATGGGCTGGAAAATGGATGATCTAAGGGGCATTGATATGAGTGTATGCATGCATAGTATATATCTAGAGGAAGGGGCTAGAACTAGCAGGGAACCACAACGAAGATTAAATCCTAACATAATGGAAATTGTAAAAAAAGAAATTTTAAAGTGGCTGGCTGCTGATATTATTTATCCTATTTCAGATAGCAAATAGGTTAGTCCTACACAAGTGGTGCCAAAAAAATCAGGGATCACGGTTATAACAAACAAAAATGGGGATGAAATACAAACAAGATTAACTACTGGTTGGAGGGTTTGCATTGATTATAGAAAATTAAATTCAGTTACTAGAAAAGATCATTTTCCCCTACCATTTACTGATCAAATTCTAGAAAAATTAGCTGGAATTTTTTTTTTTGTTTTCTGGATGGATACTCTAGTTATAATCAAATTTATATAAACCCTTTAGATCAAGAAAAAACAACTTTCACTTGTCCATTTGATACTTTTGCTTTTAAACGCATGCCTTTTGGTCTGTGTAATGCTCCAGCCACATTTCAAAGATGTATGCTGTCTATTTTTTCTCATATGATTGGAAAATGCATGGAGATTTTTATGGATGATTTTTCTGTTTTTGACGAATCTTTTGATGAATGCTTAAACCATTTACAGCATGTACTTGAGAAATGCATAAAGAAAAAATTAGTTTTGAGTTGGGAGAAATCACATTTTATGGTTAAAGAGGGAGTTGTGTTGGGTCATATTGTGAGGGAAAGGGGTTTAGAGGTGGATAGAGCAAAAATTGATATTATATCTAAAATGAAACCTCCAAATTCAGTAAAACAGATTAGATCTTTCTTGGGTCATGCAGGTTATTACAGAAAATTTATTCAGGATTTTTCGAAAATTTCTAAACCTCTCACCATGCTATTATCTAAAGATGTGCCTTTTAATTTTGATGAGAAATGCTTTGAGTTTTTTTCCGAAATAAAAAGATTACTTACTGAGGCACCCATTTTACAAGCTCCTGATTGGTCCCTTCCCTTTGAAATAATGTGTGATGCATCGAATTATGCAGTGGGGGCTGTTCTAGGACAAACAAAAGAGTCAAAACCCATAGTAATTTCATATGCTAGTAAAACTATATCCGATGCTCAATTAAATTATACCATGACTGAAAAAGAGTTGTTAACTGTAGTATTTTCGTTAGAAAGGTTTAGATCATATATTTTGGGAGCTAAAATTATTATTTATACTGATCATGCAGCATTAAAATATCTGTTAAATAAGAAAGATGCAAAGCCACGTTTATTAAGATGGATTTTATTGTTGCAAGAATTCGACTTAGAAATAAAAGATAAAAAAGGTTTCGAGAATGTTGTTGCTGACCATCTTTCTAGATTAAGTGATACAGGAATAAATGCAGCACCTTTACAAGTCGCATTTCAAGATGAACAATTGATGGCAGCTCAACATCAACCATCACCATGGTATGCACATATTGTTAATTTTTTGGTTTCTGGAAAAACTCCAAAACAGTGGGATAAGAACAAAAAACATCATTTCTTTTCTAAGATTAGAAATTATTTTTGGCATGATCCTGATTTATATTACTTGGGCAATGATCAAATTTTAAGGAGATGTGTTCCTGAAGAAGAATATCATAGCATTATTAACATGTGCCATTCATCTAACTGTGGAGGACATTTCTCTGGACGAAAAATAGCTGCAAAAATTTTTCAGTGTGGTTTTTATTGGCCTACAATCATTAGAGATTCTATAGAATTTAGTAGAACATGTATTTCATGCCAATCTATAGGTAACATGAGTAAAAAAGATGAAATTCCTATGAGTAACATGTTAGTAGTTGAAATTTTTGATGTATGGGGAATAGATTTCATGGGTCCCTTCTCATTAGCTGAAAAATATGAATATATTTTGTTTGCTGTTGATTATGTGTCGAAGTGGGTGGAAGCTATTCCTACTAGAACTAATGATCATAAAATCGTGATGAAATTTGTGCAGGAAAATATTTTTTCGAGATTTGGATGTCCTAGAGTGATTATTAGTGATGGAGGAACACATTTTACAAATAAAAATTTCAGAGAACTGTTGAAAAAGAATGGAGTACACCATAGAGTAGTCACTCCATATCATCCCCAAACAAATGGGCAAGCTGAAGTAGCAAATAGGGAAATTTAGAGAATTTTGAGAAAAATAGTTAGACCAGATAGGAAAGATTGGCCCACGAAATTACAAGATGCATTATGGGCTTATAGAACAGCTTATAAAAATCCCATAGGTATGTCCCCATTTCGTCTCATTTTTGGAAAGCCATGTCATCTTTCTATGGAAATAGAGCATAAAGCATTATGGGCTATAAAAAATTTATGTATGGATGAGAAATCAGTTGGTGGGCATAGAATTTTTCAACTATATGAACTAGAGGAGTTGAGGAATGAAGCTTGATAAGTCTTCATTATCATGAGTTAATAATTAGTAAATAATATAGTTTTAGCCTTAACTCATGATAAATAGACTTATATTTGTGTTAAAAAATGATTTTTGGTTTTCAGTTGATTAACATGAATTTTTGGGTAATTATGCGATCTTATACGATTTTTACAGTCTTACTTTCGAGATAAATGAAGAACAAGAAATAAAAATAAAAATATTGCAAAAATGGGGGACCCGCCGGCCAACCGGGCCCGCAAGTGGGTCAGAAGCGCAGTCAGGGAGTAGCCGCGAGTAGGGTCTCGAGCAGCTTGGCTTGGGGACCGATAGGGCACGTGTATGCCACTCCCCTTCGACGTCACCGGTGGCCAGCCGGCTGTGGGGCAAGGAGTGGTCGTACACGCGAGAGAAGAGACTTTGCTTACAAAGCTAACATTACTATATATTTGCCTGAAAAATCGGCGCACAACCGATGTGGGACTAAACCCGCGTCACACCTTCCTCACAGGCGGACAACCGGCGCGGGTTCGAATCCTCCTAGAGTTAAAATTCATATATTTTTATCTGATTATCGCGACTTTCCTGCAGATCGCCGGTGAAGGATTAAGCAACGAGAATTGCTGGATCATCGGCGAAAATCTCGTCAACGCGATTTGCGGAGCATTGCTACTAAAATTGCTGAACGATTCGCGATAAAAGGATAGCGAATCCATCGAGTAAATCATCTCTGATTGATCGACGAACAAGCCGTCGTCGGGAAGAGGACGATCCGCCGGGAGACGAGTCGCCACCTCCTGAGAGCGTACCAGATGCGATGAAGAGCCTCCTCTTGCTGCGCGGACCTGAGGATGAAGCTCCCTGACACGCGCCCCACCTCCATCCAGCTCCTCTCCGTCAGGTGACAGCCGCCAGAGAGCCGCAAAGTCGCCATTTTTCCACTCTGCCGGGTGACAGCCGCCGGAGACGATTCGACGACCCACTTCATTGATCTCTAGATTTCGCAAGAAGATCTAGAGATTGCCCACGTCGTCTTTGTCCAAGGAGAGCCTTCGAGGCCGTGGACACTGCATGACGATCCTCCCGAACGCTCAGCATTCCGGTGCATCACCGACGCATCGCCTTCGTGACGCCGGAACTTTGTTTTCTTGCTTTCAATTTACTTTACGCTTCATTTAGTGATAATTTGTGTAATTTAAATTTACCAAACTATTCTTCATTTCATTATGATTCTTCCGGATTTTACACATCTTAATTTGATCAATTAAATCGTCCATAATCGCTTACGTAAGAATCACCGGGCAGAACTCTGTTTCCGCTCGATTCGCACTCGCCAGGCGCTGACATCATCATCACATCTGCACCCTTATTTCCCTTTTCGTGAATTTTAAATATATTTCCTTTTTATTTCCTAGTATAAAATTCATAGAAAATCGTATTAATTGAGAAAAATTCTGAATAATTACTAGATATTATATTACATCCCTGTGATCGACCTGGAAAATTACCGCTATTTTTGAAATTTTTATTGAATTATAATTAATATATTTATTTAGAAATACTTCTAAATATCTAAAAATTCGTATTTTCTAGTTTTATAAATTTTATATTTGCGTGATTTAATATACAACGACTGAGTCATGTCAAATTTTGGTGCCGTTGCTGGGGATGTATTGCATAATATTTAGTATTTTTCTGTTTTTCTCTTAATATACACAAAAAAAAAACTTAACTCTTGTTTTATTTTCTTTTTGCCGATTTTTATTAGAAAAAGGGAATGAAAAGAAGCACGGCAAGGACTGGAGCATCCTGAAGGAGGGTAACAGTTACTAACTTTTACCCTCGAATTTATTGATTTTTATGCATGGTAGAAGATCCTTGCATCCAAGGCTAGAAAATACTTTCATTATTTCATTCAAAAATAAAAATCCGAAAGAAAAACTAATTTTGATGGATCCTGAAGGAAGTACAGGTCAAACTGAGAACAATCCTATGGCCATGAAAAATCATTATATCCCTGATTCATTTCAAAGGGCATCTAATATTAGAGTCCCATTAGCACCCACTGTTAAATTCGAAATAAATCTAAGAATTTTTCAAATGCTCCCTAATTTTCATGGATTGCCTTTAGAGGAACCTCATCAGCACTTAGAAAAATTTCATATGGTCTGTGATTTAGTTAATCTCCCTCAAGTTACACCGGAAATTATTAAGATGAAATTATTCCCACATACACTTAGGGACAAAGTTAGTCATTGGCTATCCACATTAGATAGAGAATTAACTAGCTGGAAAGATATAGAATAGGCTTTTCTTCGAAAATTTTATCCCTTAGGAAAAACTCAAAATATGAGAAAACATATATGGAGTTTTTCTCAAAGACTAGGAGAAACTTTGCATGAGACATGAGAAAAATTCAAAGATTTACTTAGAAAGTGTCCTCATCATGCTATACCCAAGTGGCAGCTCAATAGAATTTTTTATGATGGATTATTAGAACAATATAGAAATATGGTTGATTCTACATGTGGAGGAGCTTTTATGGAGAAAACGCCTAATGAGATTTACAGTCTTTATGAGAATTTAAGTGAAAATTTTAGAGATCAAGCCTCTTTTGAATTATATGACAAGGAAATGAAGAGAGAAATTTATGAATTACATCATGATGATAATTCTGAACTTAGAAATGAGGTTAATCAGATTAATCAAAGATTAGAAAAACTTGATTTACTTATTGACAATATTACAATGCCTCTTAACCCTCAATTTAATTCAAATAGTACATGTCCTACGTATGGTGAAAATGATTATTTCGAATTTCAATATCATCCTTGGCAAGAACAAGTGCAAGTACCTCATAATTTTTGTAAAAGTAGAGAATATTTTTCTAATTCTTATAATCCTAATTGGGGGAATAATTTTTCGTGGAGAAACCCAAATAATATTCAAAATCCAGAAGCACTTAGATCCAACTCAAACTCTGAATTTCGTCCAAAACAAGAAAACAGATTTCAAAAAAATCAGAACTCTCAAACCCAACATGATACTATAGAAATGATGCAGCAAATGAGCCAAATGATGCAACAAATTATGAATCAAATGATGCTGCATCAGAAACAAATTATAGAGGCTCTTGAGAATAAGAGAGAAGAGGGACAGCTACCTAGTCAGCCCATAGAAAATTCAGAAAACTGTCCAACAGTAAGATTTCAGCAAAAAGAGTCTAGCTGGATAAATTTAAAAAAAAACCCACGAAATGAAAATGTTAGGACAGTGAATACATTGAGTGAGAATATTTTACCTGATCCTTATTTCCAATTATTAGAAGAAATTGATGATCCATTAGAAGTAAATGAGAATATTAAGGCTGAAAATATAGTAGCAGAAAATTTGAATAAAATCATTTATTGCTCACAATTGATGAATGAATATAGTGAGGATGATGAGGAGAAAGAACCCTTAGATGAAGAAACAGCAACTGATCATAGAAAAATCATCCAAATTTTAGTAGAAGGGAGTAAGGACAGAAATGAAGATAAATATATTTCAGGTGAGGAAAAATCAATTGATTTGGGAGATGTAGGAGACGAAATTAATGAATCTAATCATAATTTTGTAGCCATGGATGTTGATTGTGAGGATGATGATGTATATCATATACCAAAATTAAAAGATAGCTCTTGGGAAGATGAAGAATTTGATGAGTTGAGAAACGAAAAGCTAGAAAAAGAATTGATTCAACTAATGGGAACAAACGAAAATAATAGATATGAATATAGAGATAATTTTGGAGGAGAAAATTTGAATTTTACTGAATTCATTAGATCTGAGATTAAAGAAGACAATCCTTCCATCCTTCAAAACCCACAGCCCATTAGAATTACTTCTAAGCTTGAAATATTTCACTCCTCGCAAATTGAACAAATATGTATGGAAGATAAAATGGGGCAGGGGAAGATTATGCAGATAAAAGAACACATTAAGAAATGGGTGAGTGGAAGAATTAGAGATATCAATTTAGATGAAAAAATTCTAGATTGGGTAGGAGCTAATTTGAAAATTATATGGCCTGATCACATTTTATGGTCTATTAATAGAAAGTATTTATTAATGAATGAGAGCCTTACAAAACAAGATAGAAATAAGGAAAGATTCTTTTCAAAATGAAAATATTATTTTTGGGAAAAAATTTTGTTAATTTCCATTTTTTTTTGGCTGAAAGTATGTCAAGGTATATATATGAAGTATATGAATTTATGCTAAATCTGAAAAAGAATATCATGAAACTTACCTTGGGGTACAAATATATTTTGATGGCCATAGATCATCTTATATGATCTAAGAGCTGTTGTCCAACTGAAGACATTAAATTCAGTGCTGCATGGGAGGCAACCCATGGTTTTTATTTCATTCTGTTTGATTTTTTTTAAGCTCTGTTTTTCTTAGAATTTCGCAGTACTTGTTTCTGTATTTATTTTTTTTCGAAAAAGTGCAGGAAGAGGAGTGTAAGATGAAGTGGAAAATTAAAAACGAGGTTGAGGTGATGTCTTTCTGAGCTTCATCATTTATGAAAATATTTTTAATGCTTAACTTTGCAGATATGCATGCTTCACTTGAAAATTATATTTTCTGCATATTCTGTTTCGAGTTTTCTATGTCATTGAGGACAATGTCATTTTTAAGTTGGGGGGTGAAGTATTCATTATTAATTTATGCTGTAAGACGATTAAGAACATGTGTTTCCATTTTATTCAACTTAGAACAGCAACAAAAAAATAAAAATAAAATAAAATTCAGAAAAACTGCAACATTTATTTTCTGGTTTTCTTTCAGAAAAACCAGATTGTCAAAAACAGCAGACAAAAAATAGCCCAAAATTTGAAATTATAGAGACCCTTTTCTCACATTTCAATCCCCTAGATATATATTACTGAAATTCGAAATTACAGCTATAAAGAGGATAGTTTTGATTTATTTTTGACAAATTTATTGTTGCTAAAAATAGAACTGAAAACAGAAAACAAAACTGTCAGAACTATCTAATTTACAAATTCCTTACATCATATTGCATGCATGAAAAATTAAATCAATTAGATTGATTGATATCAAAAGATACTAGGAAGATTATTATTAAGTCAAAAGAATGATCTAGTAGCATAAAATGTTGGAATACTCCTTGGATACATGATAGATAACATGGATTTGATTTTACAGATTTTCACTTCATGATCTTGATGGATAGTATTTACTTGATGTGAAAATTTGATTGATCATTTGAGTTTAATGGAGATTTTTGCACCCTGATCTATAAGACTTGTGAGGAGAAATTACTTATTTCGAAAAAAAAAAAGAGAGAGCAATGTGAAAAATCTAGAAACGAAGAGTACACATGGAGGGTGTGAGACATCATTCTCATTGTCGAAAATCGTGCATAGAAAAACACTTGCTGAAAAATAAATGGATAAAGTGAAAGCCCTGAAAGTGAAGAGTACACATGGAGGGTGTGAGACATCATTCTTATTGTCGAAATTTGTCTACAGGAAAAGCTACTTATCCACTATTTATAAAAAAAATAAAAAAAAAGAAGGAAGAAATATAGTGCAAACTTCAAAAATCAAGTCATAGAAAAAGGGAAATGTAAGATGAATATTGATAATTGGAACATCTTGTAAATACATCTATGAGTGAAGAAGTGATAAAGAAGTGAAGTCTAGATTGTTATTCCAAGGAGTGTTTAAACATTTAAGTGCTTGACATCATTCTTAAATACTTGATATAAGAATCCAAAGTGTTTAAAGGTGCATCATTTCTAATTATATATTTTTTTTCTGTATTGAAATATGATGTTTGAGATTTGTAAAATTTTATTTTCGTAATTCCATTGCTAAGGGACTAGCAATGATTTAAGTTGGGGGGTGTGATAAGTCTTTATTATCATGAGTTAATAATTAGTAAATAATATAGTTTTAGACTTAACTCATGATAAATAGACTTATATTTATGTTAAAAAATGATTTTTAGTTTTCAGTTGATTAACGTGAATTTTTGGGTAATTATGTGATTTTATACGATTTTTACAGTCTTACTTTCGAGATAAATGAAGAACAAGAAATAAAAATAAAAATATTGCAAAAATGGGGGACCCGCTGGCCAGCTAGGCTCGCAAGCGGGTTGGAAGCGCAGTCGGGGAGTAGCCGCGAATAGGGGCTTGAGCGGCTTGGCTTGGGGACCGATAGGGCACGTGTATGCCACTCCCCTTCGACGTCACCGGTGGCCAGCCGGCTGTGGGGCAAGGAGTGGTCGTACACGCGAGAGAAGAGACTTTGCTTACAAAGCTAACATTACTATATATTCACCTGAAAAATCGGCGCACAACCGATGTGGGACTAAACCCGCGTCACACCTTCCTCACAGGCGGGCAACCGGCACGGGTTCGAATCCTCCCAGAGTCAAAATTCATATATTTTTATCTGATTATCGCGACTTTCCTGCAAATCGCCGGTGAAGGATTAAGCAACGAGAATTGCTGGATCATCGGCGAAAATCTCGTCAACGCGATACGTGGAGCATTGCTACTAAAATTGCTGAATGATTCGCGATAAAAGGATCGCGAATCCATCGAGTAAATCATCTCCGATTGATCGACGAACAAGCCGTTGTCGGGAAGAGGACGATCCGCTGGGAGACGAGTTGCCACCTCCTGAGAGCGTACCAGATGCGATGAAGAGCCTCCCCTTGCTGCGCGGACCTGAGGATGAAGCTCCCTAACACGCGCCCCACCTCCATCCAGCTCCTCTCCATCAGGTGACAGCCACTGGAGATGATTCGACGACCCACTTCATTGATCTCTAGACTTTACAAGAAGATCTAGAGATTGCCCACGTCGTCTTTGTCCAAGGAGAGCCTTTGAGGCCGTGGACACTGCACGACGATCCTCCCGAACGCTCAGGATTCCGGTGCATCGCCGACGCATCGCCGTCGCGACGTCAGAACTCTGTTTTCCTGCTTTCAATTTACTTTACGCTTCTTTTAGTGATAATTTGTGTAATTTAAATTTACCAAACTATTCTTCATTCCATTACGATTCTTCCGGATTTTACAGATCTTAATTTGATCAATTAAATCGTCTATAATCGCTTATGTAAGGATCGCCAGGAGGAACTCTGTTTCCGCCCGATTCGCGCTCGCCGGGCGCTGACGTCATCATCACGTCTGCACCCTTATTTCCCTTATTCGTAAATTTTAAATATCTTTCCTTTTTATTTCCTAGTATAAAATTCATAGAAAATCGTCTTCAGTGAGAAAAATTCTGAATAATTACTAGATATTATATTACATCCCTGTGATCGACTTGGAAAATTACTACTATTTTTGGAATTTTTATTGAATTATAATTAATATATTTATTTAGAAATACTTCTAAATATCCAAAAATTTGTATTTTCTAGTTTTATAAATTTTATATTTGCATGATTTAATATACAACGACTGAGTCATGTCAAAGCTTAGGAAAATCATGAATATATAAAAAAAAACTAAAACTTTTCATGATAAATACATTAGCAGAAAAAAAATTTATGTTGGACAAAAAGTGTGGTTATATGATTCTAGGCTGAAATTATTCCCAAGAAAATTAAAATCAAAATGGAAAGGGCCTTATGTGGTGGAAGAGACATATGATCATGGGCTGTAATGATTAAAGATCCTAAAAGTGATCATAACTTTAAGGTAAATGGACAGCGGCTTAAACATTACTTAGAACATGAACGCCTTGCAGAAAAAGAAATTTTATTATTAAATAAAATTCAAGAGTAAGATCATGGAGTCCAACTGAAGACATTAAATTCAGTGCTGCATGGGAGGCAACCCATGGTTTTTATTTCATTCTGTTTGATTTTTTTTAAGCTCTGTTTTTCTTAGAATTTCGCAGTACTTGTTTCTGTATTTATTTTTTTTCGAAAAAGTGCAAGAAGAGGAGTGTAAGATGAAGTGGAAATTTAAAAACGAGGTTGAGGTGATGTCTTTCTGATCATCATCATTTATGAAAATATTTTTAATGCTTAACTTTGTAGATATGCATGCTTCACTTGAAAATTCTATTTTCTGCATATTTTGTTTCGATTTTTCTGTGTCATTGAGGACAATGTATTTTTTAAGTTGGGGGGTGAAGTATTCATTATTAATTTATGCTGTAAGACGATTAACAACAACAGACGAAATTAGAACAGAACCTAAAAAACTAAAAATAAAATAAAATTCGGAAAAACTGCAACATCTATTTTCTGGTTTTCTATTAGGAACAATAGACTGTCAAAAACAGCAGACGAAAAAACAACCCGAAATTTGAAATTATAGAGACCCTTTTCTCACATTTCAATCCCCTAGACATATATTACTGAAATTCGAAATTACAGCTATAAAGAAAATAGTTTTGATTTATTTTTGACAAAATTATTGGTGCTAAAAATAAAACTGAAAATAGAAAATAGAACTGTCAGAACTATCTAATTTACAAATTTCTTACATCATATTGCATGCATGAAAAATTAAATCAATTAGATTGATTGATACCAAAAGATACTAGGAAGATTATTATTGAGTCAAAAGAATGATCTAGTAGCATGAAATGTTGGAATACTCCTTGGATACATGATAGATAACATGGATTTGATTTTACAGATTTTCACTTCATGATCTTGATGGATAGTATTTACTTGATGTGAAAATTTGATTGATCATTTGAGTTTAATGGAGATTTTTGCACCCTGATCTATAGGACTTGTGAGGAGAAATCACTTATTTCAAAAAAAAAAAAGAGAGAGCAATGTGAAAAATCTAGAAATGAAGAGTACACATGGAGAGTGTGAGACATCATTCTCATTGTCGAAAATCGTGCATAGAAAAGCACTTGCTGCAAAATAAGTGGATAAAGTGAAAGCCCTAAAAATGAAGAGTACACATGGAGGGTGTGAGACATCATTCTTATTGTCGAAATTTATCTACAGGAAAAGTTACTTATCCACTATATATATATTAAAAAAACAAAAAAGAAGGAAGAAATATAGTGCAAACTTCAAAAATCAAGCCATAGAAAAAAGGAAATGTAGGATCAATATTATTCTTAGATGAGTATTGATAATTGGAACATCCTGTAAATACATCTATGAGTGAAGAAAGCGATAAAGATGTAAATAGAAGAAGTGAAGTCTAGATTGTTATTCCAAGGAGTGTTTAAACATTTAAGTGCTTGACATCATTCTTAAATACTTGATATAAGAATCCAAAGTGTTTAAAGGTGCATCATTTCTAATTGTATTTTTTTTCTATATTGAAATATGATGTTTGAGATTTGTAAAATTTTATTTTTGTAATTCCATTGCTAAGGGACTAGCAATGATTTAAGTTGGGGGGTGTGATAAGTCTTTATTATCATGAGTTAATAATTAGTTAGTAATATAATTTTCACCTTAAATCATGATAAATAGACTTATATTTATGTTAAAGTGTGAAAAGTGGTTTTCAGTTGATTAACGTGAATTTTTGGATAATTATGTGATTTTATATGATTCTTACAGTCTTACTTTTGAGATAAATGAAGAACAAGAAATAGAAATAAAAATATTGCAAAATGGGGGGACCCGCAAGCGGGTCGGAAGCGTAGTCGGGGAGTAGCCGCAAGCAGGGGCTCGAGCGGCTTGGCTTGGACCGATAGGGGGACGTGTGCGCCACTCCCCTTCCATGTCACCGGTGGCCAGCCGGCTGTGGGGCAAGGAGTGGTCGTACACACGAGAGAAGTGACTTTGCTTATAAAGCTAACATTACTATATATTCGCCCAAAAAATTGGCGCACAACCGATGTGGGACTAAACCCGCGTCACACCTTCCTCAGAAGAGGCAGGCAACCGACGTGGGTTTGAATCTTTCCAGAGTCAAAATTCATATATTTTTATCTGATTATCGCAACTTTTGCTGCAGATCGCCGGTGAAGGATTAAGCAACAAGAATCGCTGGATCATCGGCGAAAATCTCATCAACACGATTCACGGAGCATTGCTACTAAAATTGCTGAACGATTCGCGATAAAAGGATCGCGAATCCATTGAGTAAATCATCTCCGATTGATCGACGAACAAGCCGTCGTCGGGAAGAGGACGATCCGTCAGGAGATGAGTCGCCACCTCTTGAGAGCGTACCAGATGCGATGAAGAGCCTCCTCTTGCTGCGCGGACCTGAGGATGAAGCTCCCTAACATGTGCCCCACCTCCATCCAGCTCCTCTCCGTCGGGTGACAGCCGCTGGAGAGCCGCAAAGTCACCATTTTTCTGCTCCGCCGGGTGATAGCCGCCGGAGACGATTCGACGACCCATTTCATTAATCTCTAGACTCCGCGAGAAGATCTAGAGATTGCCCACATCGTCCTTGTCCAAGGAGAGCCTTTGAGGCCGTGGACACTGCACGACGATCCTCCCGAACACTCAGAATTCCGGTGCATCGCCGATGCATCACCATCGCGACACCGGAACTTTGTTTTCCTGCTTTCAACTTACTTTACGCTTCATTTAGTGATAGTTTTTGTGATTTTAATTTACCAAAATATACTTTGTTCTATTACGATTCTTCCGGCTTTTACAGATCTTAATTTGATCAATTAAATCGTCTGTAATCGCTTACGTAAGAATCACCGGGCGGAACTCTGTTTTTGCCCGATTCGCATTCGCCAGGCGCTGACGTCATCCTGACGTCATCTTGACGTCCGCACCCTTATTTCCCTTTTTCGTGAATTTTAAATATATTTCCTTTTATTTCTTAGTATATAATTCATATAAAATATTATTCATAGAGGAAAATTCTGAATAATTACCAGATATTATATTACATTCTTATGATCGACTTGGAAAATTACTGCTATTTTTGGAAGTTTTATTGAATTATAATTGATATATTTTTTCAGAAATACTTCTAAATATCCAAAAATTTGTATTTTCTAGTTTTATAAATTTTATATTTGCATGATTTAATATACAACGACTAAGTCACGTCATCCGTGCAGCAAGAGGAGGCTCTTCATTGTTAAGGGACTAGCAATGATTTATGTTGGCGAGTGTGATAAGTCTTCATTATCATGAGTTAATAATTAGTAAATAATATAGTTTTAGCCTTAACTCATGATAAATAGACTTATATTTATGTTAAAATGTGAAAAGTGGTTTTCAATTGATTAATGTGAAGTTTTAGGTAATTATGTGATTTTACATGAATTTATATGATTTTTACAGTCTTGGTTTTGAGATAAATGAAGAAAAAGAAATAAAAATAAGACAAAATGAGGGGGACCCGCAAGTGGGTCGGAAGCTCAGTCGGGGAGTAGCTACGAGCAGGGGCTCGAGCGGCTTGGACAGATAGGGGCATGTGTGTGCCACTCCCCTTCCATGTCACCGGTGGCCAGCTGACTATGGGGTAAGGAGTGGTCGTACACGCAAGAGAAGGAACTTTGCTTAGAAAACTAACATTACTATATATTCGCTCGAAAAATCGGCACACAACCGATGTGGGACTAAACCCGCGTCACACCTTCCTCAAAAGGGGCGGACAATCGGCGCGGGTTTGAATCCTCCCAGAGTAAAAATTCATATATTTTTATCTGATTATCACGACTTTCCTGCAGATCGCCGGTGAAGGATTAAGCAACGAGAATCGCTGGATCATCGGCAAAAATCTCGTCAATGCGATTCGCGGAGCATTGCTACTAAAATTGCTGAACGATTTGCGATAAAAGGATCACGAATCCATCGAGTAAATCATCTCCGATTGATCGACAAACAAGCCGTCGTCGGGAAGAGGACGATCTGTCGAGAGACGAGTCGCCACCTCTTGAGAGTGTACCAGATGCGATGAGGAGCCTCCTCTTGCTGCGCAAACCTGAGGATGAAGCTCCTTGACACGCGCCCCACCTCCATCCAGCTCATCTCCGTCGAGTGACAGCCGCCGGAGAGCCACAAAGTCACCTTTTTTCCGCTCCGCCAGGTGACAGCCGCCGAAGACGATTTGACGACCCATTTCATTAATCTCTAGACTTCGCGAGAAGATCTAGAGATTGCCCATGTCGTCCTTGTCCAAGGAGAGCCTTCGAGGCCGTGGACACTGCACGACGATCCTCCCGAACACTCATAATTCCGGTGTATTGCCGACACATCGCCGTCGCGATGTCGAAACTCTGTTTCCTACTTTCAACTTAATTTCCGTTTCATTTAGTGATAATTTGTTTATTTTAAATTTACCAACATATACTTCATTTCATTACGATTCTTCCGTCTTTTACAAATCTTAATTTGATCAATTAAATCGTCTGTAATCGCTTACGTAAGAATCACCGAGCGGAACTCTGTTTTCGCCTAATTCGTGTTCGCTGGGCGCTGACATTATCCTAACGTGTGCACCCTTATTTCTTTTTTTCCGTGAATTGAAAATATTTTTCCTTTTCATTTCTTAGTATAAAATTCATAGAAAAAAGTATTCTTTGAGGAAATTTCTGAATAATTACCAGATATTATATTACATCCCTGTGATCGACCTGGAAAATTATTGCTATTTTTTGGAAGTTTTATTGAATTATAATTGATATATTTGTTCAGAAATACTTCTAAATATCAGAAAAATCATATTTCTTAGTTTTATAAATTTTAGATTTGTGTGATTTAATATACAACGACTAAGTCACATCAGCGGGCAACCAACGCAGGTTTGAATCCTCCTAGAGCCAAAACTCATATTTTTATCTGATTATCGTAACTTTCCTGTAGATCGCTAGTGAAGGATTAAGCAACCAGAATTGCTAGATCATCGACGACAATCTCGTCAACGCGATTTGTGGAGCATTGTTACTCAAATTTCTGAAGGATTCACGATAAAAGGATCGTGAATCCATCGAGTAAATCATCTCCGATTGATCGACGAACAAGCCATCGTCGAGAAGAGGACGATCCACCGGGAGACGAGTCGCCACCTCTTGAGAGCGTACCAGATGCGATGAAGAGCCTCCTCTTGCTGCGCAGACCTGAGGATGAAGCTCCCTGACATGCCCCCCACCTCCATCCAGCTCCTCTCCGTCGGGTGACAACTGCCGGAGAGCCACAAAGTCGCCGTTTTTCCGCTCTGTCAGGTGACAGCCGCTAGAGACGATTCGACGACCCATTTCATTAATCTCTAGAGTTTGCGAGAAGATCTAGAGATTGCCAACGTCGTCCTTGTCCAAGGAGAGCCTTTGAGGCCGTGGACACTACACGATGATCCTCCTGAACACTTAGAATTCTGGTGCATCGCCGACGCATCGCCGCTGCGACGTCGGAACACTGTTTTCCTGCTTTCAACTTAATTTCCATTTCATTTAGTGATAATTTGTGTAATTTAAATTTACCAACATATACTTCATTTCATTACGATTCTTTCATCTTTTACAGATCTTAATTTGAACAATTCAATCGTCTGTAATTGCTTACGTAAAAATCACCGGGCGGAACTCTATTTCTGTGCGATTCGCGTTCGCTGGGTGCTGACATCATCCTAACGCCCGCACCCTTGTTTCCTTTTCTTGTGAATTTTAAATATATTTCCTTTTCATTTCCTAGTATAAAATTCATAGAAAATCGTATTCATTGAGAAAAAAAATCTGAATACCAAATATTATATTACATCCCTGTGATCGACGTGCAAAATTACCGCTATTTTTGGAAGTTTTATTGAATTATAATTGATATATTTGTTCAGAAATACTTCTAAATATCTAAAAAATTGTATTTTTTAGTTTTATAAATTTTAGATTTACATGATTTAATATACAACGATTGAGTCACGTCAAATTTTGGTGCCGTTGCCAGGGATGTATTGTATAATATTTAGTATTTTTCTATTTTTCTCTTAGAGTACACAAAAAAAATTAACTCTTATTTTATTTTCTTCTTCCCGAATTTTTTTTTTTAGAAAAAGGGAACGAAAAGAAGCAAGGCAAGGACTGGAGCATACTGAAGGAGGGTAACAATTAATAAACTTTTCTCTCGAATTTATTGATTTTTTATGTATGGTAGAAGATCCTTGCATCCAAGGCTAGAAAATCCTTTCATTATTTCATTCAAAACAAAAAATCCGAAAGAAAAATTAAGTTTGATAGATCCTGAAGAAAGTACAGGTCAAACTGAGAACAATCCTGTGGCCATGAAAAATTATTATATCCCTGATTCATTTCAAAGAGCATCCAATATTAGAGTCCCATTAGCACCCAATGTTAAATTCGAAATAAATCCAAGAATTTTTCAAATGCTCCCTAATTTTCATGGATTGCCTTTAGAAGAACTTCATCAGCACTTAGAAAAATTTCATATGGTCTGGAAGATAAAATGGACCAGGGGAAGATTATGCATATAAAAGAAGACATTAAGAAATGGATGAATGGAAGAGTTAGAGATATCAATTTAGATGAAAAAAATTTAAATTGGGTAAGAGCTAATTCGAAAATTATATGGCCTGATCACATAATATGGTCTATTAATAGAAAGTATTTATTAATGAATGAGAGCCTTACAAAACAAGATAGAAATAAGGAAAGATTCTTTTCAAAATAGAAATATTATTTTTGGGAAAATCTTGTTAATTTTCATTTTGTTTTGGCTGAAAGTATTTCAAGGTATATATATGAAGTATATGAATTTATGCTAAATCTGAAAAAGAATATCATGAAACTTTCCTTGGGATACAAATATATTTTGATGGCCATAGATCATCTTATATGATCTTAGAGCTGTCCAGCTGGAGACATTAAATGCAGCGCTGCATGGGAGGCAACCCATGGTTTTTATTTCATTCTGTTTGATTTTTTTTAAGCTCTGTTTTTCTTACAATTTCGCAATACTTGTTTCTTTATTTGTTTTTTTTCGAAAAAGTGCAGGAGGAGTGTAAGACGAAGTGGAAAATTAAAAATGAGGTTGAGGTGATGTCTTTCTGAGCTCTATAATTTCCGAAAATATTTTTAATGCTTAACTTTGCGTATATGCATGCTTCACTTGAAAATTATATTTTCTGCATATTCTATTTTGATTTTTCTGTGTCATTGAGGACAATGTCATTTTTAAGTTGGGGGGTGAAGTATTCATTATCAATTTATGCTGTAAGACGATTAAGAACATGTGTTTCCATTTTATTCAACATAGAACAGCAACAAAAAAATAAAAATAAAATAAAATTCAGAAAAACTGCAACATCTATTTTCTTGTTTTCTGTCAGGAACAACAGATTGTCAAAAACAGCAGACAAAAAACAGCCCAAAATTTGAAATTCTAGAGACCCTTTTCTCACATTTCAATCCCCTAGACATATATTACTGAAATTCGAAATTACAACTATAAAGAGGATAGTTTTGATTTATTTTTGAGAAATTTATTCTTGCTAAAAACAGAACATAAAATAGAAAACAGAATTGTCAGAACTATCTAATTTACAAATTTCTTACATGATATTGCATGCATGAAAAATTAAATCAATTAGATTGATTGATACCAAAAGATATTAGGAAGATTATTATTGAGTCAAAAGAATGATCTAGTAGCATGAAATGTTGGAATACTCCTTAGATACATGATAGATAACATGGATTTGATTTTACAGATTTTCACTTCATGATCTTGATGGATAGTATTTACTTGATTTGAAAATTTGATTGATCATTTGAGTTTAATAGAGATTTTTGCACTCAGATCTATAGGACTTGTGAGGAGAAATCACTTATTTCGAAAAAAAAAAAAGAGAGAGAGCAATGTGAAAAATCTAGAAACAAAGAGTACACATGGAGGGTGTGAGACATGATTCTCATTGTCGAAAATCATGTATAGAAAAACACTTGCTGTAAAATAAGTAGATAAAGTGAAAGCCCTGAAAATTAAGAGTACACATGGAGGGTGTGAGACATCATTCTCATTGTCGAAATTTGTCTACAGGAAAAGCTACTTATCTACTATAAAAGAAGGAAGAAATATAGTGCAAACTTCAAAAATCAAGCCATGGAAAAAAAGGAAATGTAGGATCAATATTATTCTTGAATGATTATTGATAATTAGAACATCTTGTAAATATATCTATGAGTGAAGAAGTGATAAAGATGTGAATAAAAGAAGTGAAGTCTAGATTGTTATTCCAAGGAGTGCTTAAACATTTAAGTGCTTGACATCACCTCCCCCCTACTTAAGTCTTGCATTGTCTTTAATGCATGTGAGAGAAGGGAAAAGAGAAGAAAATTCTGATTTTTATGCCCCATCTACTACACTGTTGCCCCTTAATGGTTCTAACTAAAGCACTCGACCAATAAAATATGTCTGAAACAAAAGCTAGTAAGGAAATGCATAAAAAGAAATGATAGTTCTCCTCAAGATAAATTATGTGCATACACACAAATAGATCGTCCTGAAATATCTGCTAGAGACCAGCCAATCACCTCTCTCTATGTCCTATGTACATCAAGTAATCTATTCTCTTGATCCTTAAACAAATACAATGATATAATCATTGGATAAGCTTGATGTTAATCAAAAAATACATACTTTAGTGAAGATGGTTGATAAGTTTTCATTATCATGAGGTAATAATTTATAGTTTTAATCTTAACTCATGATAAATAGACTTATATTTATGTCAAATTATGAAAAATAGTTTTTAGTTGGTTAATTTGACTAATTATGGGATCTTATGTGAATTTATATAATTTTTATAATCTTATTTTTGAGGTAAATGAAGAAAAAAAAATAAAAAGATAGAAGAAAGAGGAAACTTGCCGCCTAGTCAAGCCCACAAGTAGGTTGGAAGCATAGACAGGCGGAATCATGAGTAAGGGCTTGAGCGACTAAAGACGGACCGATAGGGGACACATGTGTGTCACTCCCCTTCCACATCATCAATGGCTAGTCGGGCATGCGACAAAGAGCGGCTGTACACATGTGAGAAAGGGACACATTGATTATCAAGTCTAGTATTACTATATATCAACCTCAAAACTCAACATATAATCAAATGTGGGACTAAACCTGGGGTCACAGCCTCTGAAAAATTTTAATAATTTTAATACCTAAAATATCCCTTGTCTAGTAAACCACACAAATTTAAAATTTATAAAACTAGAAAATACTAATTTTTAGATATTTAGAAGTATTTTTGAATAATTATATCAATTATAATTTAATCAAAGTTCTAAAAATAGTGGAAATTTTCTAAGTCAATCACAAGGATGTAATATAATATCAGGTAATATTTCAGAAATATTCTCAAAGAATACGATTTTTTATGAATTTTAAACTAAGAAAAGAAAAGAAAATATATTTAAAATTTGTGAAAAAGGGAAATAAAGGTGTAGATGTCAAGATGATGTCAGCACCTAACGAATGCGAACCAGGCAGAAGTAGAATTCTGCCTAGTGATTTTTACATAAGCGATTATAGACGATTTAATTAGTCAAATTAAGATCTGTAAAAGCTAGAAGAATCATTACAAGAAGTATTTTGCAAGCCTTGTTGATCCTAATTTCACATGTGGAAGCCCCACGAAATCAGCTAAGGCGCTACTACGATTTTTATTTTATTTTTTCTAGTGTAATCTTTACCATGTTCTATCCTTTTCTCTCAAGTTTAATCATGATTAATGATTTTTAAAAGCATTAACTAATTTGAAAACTTTTCAACCGACTACTGATCAAGAAAGAGAAGGATTCAATTTACTACTCATAGTTAATAATAAGAATTCATAACATAAATCCGGCAGAAGATCAAAGTAGATTTTCTCAATTTAAGAGTGTGGGTTATATGCACCGTGAAAGATCATGAACTTCATCATTTAGTTATAAGCATTATAGCACCTGATGTAATCTCATGTATTCACCCTCATGCATTTATTCTTCCCCCCCAAACAACCATTCGCATTGTCCTTAATGCATCTATATAAGAGAAAAAGGAGAAAGCATTAAATGTGCAAACTGATTTTCACTCTTCATCCTTCTGATTTTCTTTTGTATTAATCCGTGTCATGATATGCACTTCCTCTAGAACGCTGGATCTGTTCGCTTAATAAAAACTCAAGAGAAACATCAAAGGATAGAGAAAAATAATAAAAAGGGAATGTAGTGGAAAAGAAAGCTATGCCATCTTAGAGTACATGATGGAGGGGAAGTTATAAGAAGATTGAGGTTCAATGGATGGATCATATAATTGAGTGCAAATGGGTAAAGAAGGAGGGTTCGTTTCTAAATAAGGTTTTAATCTTTGCCCATTCACATTAAAATTTTTACCAGTTTTTAGATCTGCAATTAATACTGCACCACAGTCAAAAACTTTAATCACAAGGTATGGTCCATCCCATCTAGATTTTAATTTCTCGAGGAATAGTTTCAATCGAGAATTGTAAAGCCACTCTTTTTGATGCTCATGAAAACTCTTTCTGCTCACCTTCTTGTTATAAAAAGCCTTCATTTTTGCTCTGTAAATCAGAGACTTCTTGTACATCTCATTGGGTAGTTCTTGAAGCTCTTGCAACTACAACATACGGTGCTTACCTACGGCGTCTAAAGAGAGATTAAGATTCTTTATAGCCTAATAAGCCTTATGTTCGATCTTCATAGGAAGGTGACAAACCTTTTGACGTGACTGAGTCGTTGTATTGTAAATCACGTAAATTTAAAAATTATAAAACTAGAAAATACTAATTTTTAGATATTTAGAAGTATTTCTGAACAAATATATCAATTATAATTCAATAAAATTTACAAAAATTGTGGTAATTTTCCAAGTCGATCATAGTGATGTAATATAATATTGGATAACGTTTTAGTATTTTTCTCAAAGAATATATTTTTTTATGAATTTTATATTAAGAAATGAAAATAAAATATATTTAAAATTCATAAAAAAGGAAATAAGGGTGCAGATGTTAGGATGACGTTAGCATCCGACAAACGCAAATCAAACAAAAATAGAGTTCCGCCTAGTGATTCTTACGTAAGCAATTATAGATGATTTAATTAATCAAATTAAGATTTGGAAAAGGCAGAAGAATCATAATTGAATGAAATATAACTTGGTAAATTTAAATCACACAAATTATCACTAAATGAAGTAGAAATTAAGTTGAAAGTAGAAAAATAGAGTTCTAGCATCATGGCGGCAATGTGTCGACGATGCACGAGAATTCTAAGCATTCGGGAAGATTATCGTGCAGTGTCCATGGCCTCGAAGGCTCTCATTGGACAAGGACGACGTGGGTAATCTCTAGATATCCTTGCGAAGTCTAGAGATCAATGAAATGGGTCATCGAATCATCTCCGACAGCTGTCACACGGCAGAGCGAAAAAATGACGACTCTGTGGCTCTCTAGCGGCCATCATTGACATGACTTAGTCGTTGTATATTAAATCACGCAAATATAAAATTTATAAAACTAGAAAATACGAATTTTTAGATATTTAGAAGTGTTTCTGAACAAATATATAATTTATAATTTAATAAAACTTCCAAAAATAGCAGTAATTTTCTAAGTCAATCATAGGGATGTAATATAATATCTGGTAATTATTCAGAATTTTTGGCAAAGAATACTATTTTCTATGAATTTTATACTAGGAAATGAAAAAGAAATATATTTAAAATTCACGGAAAAAAGAAATAAGGGTGCAGATGTCAGGATGACGTTAGCGCCTGGCGAACACGAATCGGCCAGAAACAGAGTTCCGCCCGGGGATTCTTACGTAAGCGATTACAGATGATTTAATTGATCAAATTAAGATCTGTAAAAGTCGGAAGAATCGTAATTGAATGAAATATAGCTTGGTAAATTTAAATCACACAAATTATCACTAAATGAAGTGTAAAGTAAGGTGAAAGTAGGAAAACAAAGTTCCGGTGTCGCGGCGGCGATACGTCGGCGATACGTCAACAATGCACCGAAATCCTGAGCGTTCGGGAGGATAGTCGTGTAGTGTCCACGGCCTCGAAGGCTCTCCTTGGACAAGGACGATGTGGGCAATCTCTAGATCTCCTTGCGAAGTCTAGAGATCAATGAAATGGGTCGTCAAATCATCTCCAGCGGCTGTCACCCGGCAGAGCAGAAAAACAACGACTTTGCGGCTCTCCAACACGTGTCAGGGAGCTTTATCCTCAGGTCCGAACAGCAAGAGGAGGCTCTTCATCGCATCTGGTATGCTATCAAGAGGTGGCAACTCGTCTCCTAGTAGATCGTCCTCTTTCCGACGATGGCTTGTTCGTCGATCAATCGGAGATGCTTTACTCGATGGATTCGCAATCCTTTTATCGCGAATTGTTCAGCAATTTTAGTAACAATGCTCCGCGAAGCGCGTTGACGAGATTTTCGTCGATGATGCAGCGATTCTGGTTGCTTAATCCGTCACCGACGATCTGCAGGAAAGTCGCGATAATCAGATAAAAAAGATGAGTTTTGGCTCTGGGAGGATTCAAACCCACGCCGGTTGCCCCGCCCCTTCTGAAAAGGTGACGCGGGTTTAGTCCCACATCGGTTGTGCGCCAAATTTTTAGGTGAATATATAGTAATGTTAGATTTCTAAGCAAGTCCCTTTCTCGCGCGTGTATGACCACTCCTTGCCCCACAGTTGGCTGGCCACCGGTGACGTGGAAGGGGAGTGGCGCACACGTGCCCCCATCGGTTCAAGCCGCTTGAGCCCCTGCTCGCGGCTACTCCCCGACTACACTTCCGACCCACTTGCCCCGGCTGGCCGGCGGGTCCCCCATTTTGCTATATTTTTATTTTTATTTCTTTTTCTTTATTTATCTCAAAAGTAAGACTGTAAAAATCTTATAAACTCACATAATTACCCAAAAATTCACGTTATTCAACTGAAAACCACTTTTCACACTTTAACACAAATATAAGTCTATTTATCATGAGTTAAGGCTAAAACTATAGTGGCTTGAACCATCTTTGACAGTTGTCACTTGGCGGAGCAAAAAAATGATGACTTTGTGGCTCTCTAGTGGCTGTCACAGATGTGACTTAGTCATTGTATATTAAATCATGTAAATATAAAATTTATAAAACTACAAAATACAAATTTTTAGATATTTAGAAGTATTTCTGAACAAATATATCAATTATAATTTAATAAAACTTCCAAAAATAGTAATAATTTTCCAGGTTGATCATAAGGATGTAATATAATATCTGATAATTATTCAGAATTTTTGGCAAAGAATAATATTTTCTATGAATTTTATACTAGGAAATGAAAAGGAAATATATTTAAAATTCACGGAAAAAGGAAATAAGGGTGTAGATGTCAGGATGACGTCAACACCTGGCGAACGCGAATTGAGCGAAAATAGAGTTCTGCCGACGATTCTTGCGTAAGCAATTACAGATGATTTAATTCATCAAATTAAGATCTTTAAAAGTCGGAAGAACCGTAATTGAACGAAGTATATTTTGGTAAATTAAAATCACACAAATTATCACTAAATGAAGCGTAAATTAAGTTAAAAGTAGGAAAACAGAGTTCCGGCGTTGCGACGGCGATGCGTCGGCGATGCACCGGAATCTTGAGCATTCGGGAGGATCGTCGTGTAGTGTCCGCGGCCTCGAAGGCTCTCCTTGGACAAGGACGATGTGGGCAATCTCTAGATCTCCTTGCAAAGTCTAGAGATCAATGAAATGAGTCGTCAAATCATCTCCGGTGACTGTCACCCAGCGGAGCAGAAAAACGGCGACTTTGTGGCTCTCCAGCGGCTGTCACCCGACAGAGAGGAGCTGGATGGAGGTGGGGCGCGTGTCATGGAGCTTCATCCTCAAGTCCGCACAACAAGAGGAGGCTCTTCATTGTTAAGGGACTAGCAATGATTTAAGTTGGGAGGTGTGATAAGTCTTCATTATCATGAGTTAATAATTAGTAAATAATATAGTTTTAGCCTTAACTCATGATAAATAAACTGTTTGTGTTAAAGTGTGAAAAGTGGTCTTCAATTGATTAATGTGATTTTTTGGGTAATTATGTGATTTTATACGAATTTATATGATTTTTACAATCTTACTTTTGAGATAAATGAAGAAAAAGAAATAAAACTAAATATTGCAAAATGGGGGGACCCCGCCGGCCAACCGGGCCCGCAAGCGGGTCGGAAGTGCAGTCGGGGAGTAGCCGCGAGCAGGGGCTCAAGCGGCTTGAATCGATGATGTGGGCACATGTGCGCCACTCCCCTTCCACGTCACTGGTGGCCAGCCGGCTGTGGGGCAAGGAGTGGTTGTACACGCGCGCTTGATCGGGAATGTAATATTACTTTATATTCGCCAGAAACTTCGGCACACAACTGATGTGGGACTAAACCCACGTCACCTTCCCCAGAAAGGGCGGGCAACCAGTGCAGGTTCGAATCCTCCCAGAGCCAAAACTCATATTTTTATCTGATTATCGCGACTTTCTTACAGATCGCTGGTGAAGGATTAAGTAACCAGAATCACTAGATCATTGGTGAAAATCTCGTCAACGCGATTCGCGAAGCATTGTTACTCAAATTACTGAAGGATTCGCGATAAAAGGATCGTGAATCTATCGAGTAAATCATATCTAATTGATCGACGAACAAGCTGTCATCAGGACGAGGACGATCCGCCAGGAGACGAGTCGCCACCTCTTGAGAGCGTACCAGATGCGATGAAGAGTCTCCTCTTGCTACGCGGACTTGAGAATGAAGCTCCCTGACTTGCGCCCCACCTTCATCCAGCTCCTCTCCGTCGGGTGACAGTCGCCAGAGAGCCGCAAAGTCGCCGTTTTTTTGCTCCGCCGGGTGACAGCCACCGGAGACGATTCGACGACCCATTTCATTAATCTCTAGACTTCGCGAGAAGATCTAGAGATTGCCCACGTCGTCTTTGTCTAAGGAGAGCCTTCGAGGCCGTAGACACTACACGACGATCCTCCCGAATACTCAGAATTCCGGTGCATCGCCGAAGCATCACCGCTGCGACGTCGGAACTCTATTTTCCTACTTTCAACTTAATTTCCGTTTCATTTAGTGATAATTTGTTGATTTTAAATTTACCAACATATACTTCATTTCATTACGATTCTTCCATCTTTTACAGATCTTAATTTGATCAATTAAACCGTCTGTAATCGCTTACATAAGAATCACCAGTGGAACTCTATTTCCGCCCGATTCGCATTCGCCGGGCGCTGACCTCATCTTGACGCTCGCACCCTTGTTTCCTTTTTTCGTGAATTTTAAATATATTTCCTAGTATAAAATTCATAAAAAATAGTATTCATTGAGAAAAATTCTAAATAATTACCAGATATTATATTACATCCCTGTGATCGACCTGCAAAATTACCGCTATTTTTGGAAGTTTTATTGAATTATAATTGATATATTTGTTCAGAAATACTTCTAAATATCTAAAAAATCATATTTTCTAGTTTTATAAATTTTAGATTTGCGTGATTTAATATACAACGACTGAGTCACGTTAAATTTTGGCACCATTGCCAGGGATGTATTGCATAATATTTAGTATTTTTCTGTTTTTCTCTTAGAGTACACAAAAACAAATTAACTCTTATTTTATTTTCTTCTTCCTGAATTTTTTTTTTTTAGAAAAAAGGAAGGAAAAGAAGCAAGGCAAGGACTGAAGCATACTGAAGGAGGGTAACAATTAATAAACTTTTCTCTCGAATTTATTGATTTTTTATGTATGGTAGAAGATCCTTGCATCCAAGGCTAGAAAATCCTTTCATTATTTCATTCAAAACTAAAAATCCGAAAGAAAAATTAATTTTGATAGATCCTAAAGAAAGTATAGGTCAAACTGAGAACAATCCTGTGGCCATGAAAAATTATTATATCCCTGATTCATTTCAAAGAGCATCCAATATTAGAGTCCCATTAGCACCCAATGTTAAATTCGAAATAAATCCAAGAATTTTTCAAATGCTCCCTAATTTTCATGGATTGCCTTTAGAAGAACTTCATCAGCACTTAGAAAAATTTCATATGGTCTGTGATTTAGTTAATCTCCCTCAAGTTACACCGAAAATTATTAAGATGAAATTATTTCCTCATACACTTAGGGACAAAGCTAGTCATTGGCTATCCACATTAGATAGAAATTAACTAGTTAGAAAGACATAGAACAGGCCTTTTTTCAAAAATTTTATCCCTTAGGAAAAACTCAAAATATGAGAGAACATATATGGAATTTTTCTCAAAGACCAGGAGAAACTTTACATGAGACATGGGAAACATTCAAAGATTTACTTAGAAAGTGTCCTCATCATGCTATACCAAAGTGGCAGCTCAATAGAATTTTTTATGATGGATTATTAGAACAACATAGAAATATGATTGATTCTATATGTGGAGGAGCTTTTATGGAGAAAACCCCTGATGAGATTTACAGTCTTTATGAGAATTTAAGTGAAAATTCTAGAGATCAAGCCTCTTTTGAATTATATGATAGGGATAAGAAGAGAGGAATTCATGAATTACATCATGATATTTATTCTAAATTTAGAAATGAGGTTAATCAGATTAATCAAAGATTAGAAAAACTTGATTTACTTATTGACAATATTAGAAAGCCTCTTAACCCTCAATTTAATTCAAATAGTACATGTCCTATGTATGGTGAAAATGATCATTTCGAATTTCAATATCATCCTAGGCAAGAACAAGTGCAGGTACCCCACAATTTTAGTAAAAGTAGAGAATATTTTTCTAATTCTTATAATCCTAATTGGAGGAATAATTTTTCGTGGAGAAACCCAAATAGTATTCAAAATCCAGAAGCACTTAGATCCAATTCAAATTTTGAATTTCGTCCAAAATAGGAACATAGATTTCAGAAAAATCAGTCCTCTCAAATCCAACCTGATGCTATGGAAATGATGCAACAAATAAGCCAAATGATGCAAAAAACTATGAATCAAATGATGCTACACCAGAAACAAATTATAGAGGCTCTTGGGAATAACAAAGAAGAGGGACAGCCACTTAGTCAGCCCATAGAAAATTCAGGAAACTATCCAACAGTAGGATTTCAGCAAAGAGAGTCTAGCTGGATAAATTTAAAAAAAAACCCACGAAATGAAAATGTTAGGACAGTGAATACATTGATTGAGAATATTTTACCTGATCCTTATTTCGAATTATTAGAAGAAATTGATGAGCCATTAGAAGTAAATGAGAATATTAAGGCTGAAAATATAGTAGCAGAAAATTTGAATAAAATTATTTATTGCTCACAATTGATGAATGAATATAGTGAGGATGATGAGGAGAAAGAGTAGCTGATCATGGAAAAATCATCCAAATTTTAGTAGAAGAGAGTAAGGACAGAAATGAAGAAAAACATATTTCAAGTGAGGAAAAATCAGTTGATTTGGGAGACGTAGGAGACGAAATTAATAAATCTAATTATAATTTTGTAGCCATAGATGTTGAGTGTGAGGATGATGATGTATATCATATACCGAAATTAAAAGATAGCTCTTGGGAAGATGAAGAATTTGATGAGTTGAGAAACGAAAAGCTAGAAAAAGAGTTGATTCAACTAATGGGGAGAAACGAAAATAATGGATATGAATATAGAGATAATTTTGGAAGAGAAAATTTGAATTTTACTGTATTTATTAGATCTGAGATTAAAGAAGACAATCCTTCCATCCTTCAAAACCCACAGCCTATTAGAATTACTTCTTAGCTTGAAATATTTCACTCCTCACAAATTGAACAAATATGTATGGAAGATAAAATGGGGCAGGGAAAAATTATGTAGATAAAAGAACACATTAAGAAATGGGTGAGTGGAAGAATTAGAGATATTAATTTAGATGAAAAAATTCTAGATTGGGTAGGAGCTAATTTGAAAATTATATGGCCTGATCACATTTTATGGTCTATTAATAGAAAGTATTTATTAATGAATGAGAGCCTTACAAAACAAGATAGAAATGAGAAAAGATTCTTTTCAAAATGGAAATATTATTTTTGGGAAAATCTTGTTAATTTCCATTTTGTTTTGGCTGAAAGTATGTCAAGGTATATATATGAAGTATATGAATTTATGCTAAATCTGAAAAAGAATATCATGAAACTCACCTTGGGATACAAATATATTTTGATGGCCATAGATCATCTTATATGATCTAAGAGCTGTCCAGCTGAAGACATTAAATTCAGTGCCGCATAGGAGGCAACCCATGGTTTTTATTTCATTCTGTTTGATTTTTTAAAGCTCTATTTTTCTTAGAATTTTGCAGTACTTGTTTCTGTATTTTTTTTTTCGAAAAAGTGCAGGAGGAGGAGTGTAAGACGAAGTGGAAAATTAAAAATGAGGTTGAGGTGATGTCTTTTGGAGCTTTATCATTTATGACAATATTTTTAATGCTTAACTTTGCATATATGCATGCTTCACTTGAAAATTATATTTTCTACATGTTCTGTTTTAATTTTCTGTGTCATTGAGGACAATGTAATTTTTAAGTTTGGGGGTGAAGTATTCATTATTAATTTATGCTGTAGGACGATTAAGAACATGTGTTTGCATTAGAACAGCAACTAAAAAAAAATAATAATAATAAATAAAATTCGGAAAAACTGCAACATCTATTTTCTGGTTTTCTGTCAGGAACAACAGATTGTCAAAAACAGCAAACAAAAAACAGCCTGAAATTTGAAATTCTAGAGACCCTTTTCTCACATTTCAATCCCCTAGACATATATTACTGAAATTTGAAATTATAGCTATAAAGAGGATAGTTTTGATTTATTTTTGACAAATTTATTGTTGCTAAAAATAGAACTGAAAACAGAAAACAGAATTGTTAGAACTATCTAATTTACAAATTTCTTACATCATATTACATGCATGAAAAATTAAATCAATTAGATTGATTGATACCAAAAGATATTAGGAAGATTATTATTGAGTCAAAAGAATGATCTAGTAGCATGAAATGTTGGAATACTCCTTGGATACATGATAGATAACATGGATTTGATTTTACAGATTTTCACTTCATGATCTTGATGGATAGTATTTACTTGATTTGAAAATTTGATTGATCATTTGAGTTTAATAGAGATTTTTGCACCCAGATCTATAGGACTTGTGAGGAGAAATCACTTATTTCGAAAAAAAAAAAAAGAGAGAGAGCAATGTGAAAAATCTAGAAACGAAGAGTACACATGGAGGGTGTGAGACATGATTCTCATTGTCGAAAATCATGTATAGAAAAACACTTGCTATAAAATAAGTGGATAAAGTGAAAGCCCTGAAAATGAAGAGTACACATGGAGGGTGTGAGACATCAATCTTATTGTCGAAATTTGTCTACAGGAAAAGTTACTTATCCACTATAAAAGAAGGAAGAAATATAGTGCAAACTTCAAAAATCAAGCCATGGAAAAAGGGAAATGTAGGATCAATATTATTCTTGGATGATTATTGATAATTGGAACATCTTGTAAATATATCTATGAGTGAAGAAGTGATAAAGATGAGAATAGAAGAAATGAAGTCTAGATTGTTATTCCAAGGAGTGCTTAAACATTTAAGTGCTTGACATCACCTCCCTCCTACTTAAGTCTTGCATTGTCCTTAATGCATGTGAGAGAAGGGAAAAGAGAAGAAAATTCTGATTTTTATGCCCCATCTACTACACTATTGCCCCTGAACGGTTCTAACTAAAGCACTCGACCAATAAAATATGTCTAAAACAAAAGCTAGTAAGGAAATGCATAAAAAGAAATGATAGTTCTCCTCAAGATAAATTATGTGCATACACACAAATAGATCAAGTCTTCAAATATGTACTAGAGACCAGCCAATCACCTCTCTCTATGTCCTAAGTACATCAAGTAATCTATTCTCTTGATCC